ATAGTCAAATGCAAAAAAAACATAATAATTTCTTGACAACTGTAGAAAATTAAAAGTCGTCTTCTTAATATCAAATCAATTATATTGATAATGATATTAAATATTAAATTTACCTAGTTTTTACTTCAAAGTAAAGAAACTTAAAAAAAGTTACTTTTAAAGATTCTAATTTAAAAAATAGCGAAAACACCAATCATGCGTATCATTCATGATTGGGTTTTACTGTTCAAAAAATGTTTTATACGCTCTTAAATGCCTTGTAATTCAAGGTTACCTATAAAGGCTGGCTGTGATGTAAAGACGACCGGAAACTCTTAAAATACGACGATCCCCAGGTGGAATTTAGTATTCTGTCTGAGATGGCTTGTTTAATGATTAAATTTAGCATAATAATCAACAAATAAGATCAATTTAATCTAAAAGTGTTCTTTCAAACATTGGAATAGGGTAACCTACATAGGATAGGACTTCAGAGACGACTGTACGGACTTTATACTGTCCGTTTCTTTATATTTAAGGTTCTCTGGGAAACTTTTCCTTTTTTGCCAAGTATTTAATAATAAAAGACAATGTTTCAGGTCGCCTTAAAGTCTTATCCTTTATGGGTAACCCATCATAATTTATAAAGCACATTTTTATAAAGACTCCTAAATGTTAGATTCTTTTATGATGGAAATTAAGAAAGATGAAAACATTGCGCTTACCTGAAATTCGAATTTTTTATTCAGTTCTAGAGAAGTTGGATCGGAGAAGTATTGAGATGATTCAGATTCTCCTTTATCCAGGTACTTTTCTCCACTACTCTGCAGGCTACTGGAGTAGGTTAAACCAGAGCTAGAGTAGGAATCTCCAAATGTAGAAACCTGGAAAAAGTTTCATCGATAACTTTACCATTCATTACTTCAGTGTGTATATTTTCTATAAATATATATATTNGGGAAAACAAATCATTTTTTGGGTAAAAAGCATGAATAAGGATAAAACTTTCCCCCCCCCAGATCTTCATTCTAAACTTGTGAAAAATTTACCTCTGTATTATATTTTGACTAATATTCAATTCTAGATTCTCAGAAAGGGACTAAGCAAATATTTAATCAAAGTTGGGGGAAATCAATGATTTCTAATTAATCTTGTCCTAGGTTTTATAAACTTAGTACATAAAAATAACTTTATAATAATCTTTTCCTACCTTCTTTTTCTTCATAAAGTCGTCGTAAGAAACTGATTCTAAATTCTCGGCTCCTCCGTAAATTCCGTCCTAGAAAGATTTATACAATTTTACCTACAATGATAACCAGAAAACTCTGGAATAGGAAGTCGACTTTTAGACACAAATTATGACTTTAATAGTCCAATGAGAATGAGGCGCAGTACTTATGCAGTGTAAACAGACCCATTTTACTTAATAAGGTATGCAAAAACTTACTAGTAAACCTTTTTACTGTGTGATAACTTCAAATGTGCACTTAAGTATTGTTTTAATGTTGTCTTTCTATTCTGCAGTTTTCTGGTTATCTCTGTACGATTAGGTTGAGACTTTAATAGCGACCTAACCTGCTTTGAACATAGTAATACCTAGCAGTTATAGTCTACTGCATTAAATAAACAGTTTTATTATCTATTTATGTCATTGTAATGGGTATTATTAAGTGTGAACATATATAGTTTAATTCAGTTTTACTCAAATTATTTAAAAGCAGGTCGATAAAGTTACTTAATCACCCTGTTGTAGGGTGATTAAGTAACTTTATCACCCTACTATGAAACAAATTAGGTATGAAATTTGAAATTTTAAATAGCAGGGTAAAAAATTTACTTTTTCGCCCTGTCGTAGGGCGATAAAATCACTTAATCACCCTACAACGGGAAATATTAGATGTGATAAATGCCATCAAAATCAAATAAAATGTTTTTTTTAATGCTTTGATAATGAAAAGAAAATCAAGAAAATCAGGACTAACAGAAAAAAACATATTCATGAAATCCGTATAAACTGCATGTTGTCTCTGAAATATCATCCTTTGTGGGTAAGCCAGTACATTAAGATCTTTAAAAAATGTGTTGACGGAAAATTCTAATTAAGATGTACTTTGTATATAAGTATAAATATTTACTTTTTTAAGCATTTAAAATTGACTAAAAATCAACTTTTCTTTTTTATTCTTTTTGTAATTTTTTTTTTAAAATGCACTTTTTCACATCGTAAAAATCAACCAATAAAATTAGAATTTAATCTTGCTTAAACTTTTTACAAATATTTATGTTTACTTATACAAAAATGTTTATCTAATATCATTTCAAAGGTTAATAGAAGTTTTGAAACTTATTTTAACCAAAGATAAATGTGATCGAATACGAGATTTCGTCCTGCATTTTCCAATTATATTAGGACTCACAAGCGCAGCAGAGAATAAACTGAAAAAATAATTTAGAAATTATTTTTCAAAAAATGTTCCTTTGTCCCAGGTCATGAATTAAATCCCAAAGTGTGAAAATAACCGATTGATATCGTTGTAGACAGATTATCCAGAGCTGAAAACTTTAGAATGTGATATACTTAATCCCGATCTGTTAATTAATCTGGAGATTAAATTCAAGAGGAAAACAAACAATATTTAATCTGGAGATTAAGAAAAAGAGTGGATCAAGCATTAATCACGATATCCACCATTCTAAAGTTCCCAGCTCAGTATAAAAAGTTCTCAGAAATCCGATTTGTTAAAAATGCGGAGATGAGTTAATGATTTCAACTTAATCCGTCCAATTCTAGAAGTTTCCAGCTCCGGAAACTATCAATGAGCTATGATTCTTTAAACCAGATTTCAAGGATTTCAAGGTTCATGAGAATTTATTTCAAGGATGACGCTGAATTCATGACGCTGATTAATGACGCAGATTTCTCGTGGTTTCCGTAGAGTTGACGTTGCGCTCAAGTGAACTGCATTCAGAGAACAGAGGTCATATCTTGAGAGAAGGAGATATAACGAAACTTGGTTTTATCAAAAACAAAAAAGATGGAGAGAGAACGAAACTTGGTTTTATCAAAACTAAAGAAATGGAGAGCGAACAAAACTTGGTTTTATCAAAACTGAAGAGACAGAGAGAGAACGAACGAAACTTGGTTTTATAAAACCATGAGAGAAGGAGAGAGAACGAAACTTGGTTTTATCAAAACTAAAGAGACGGAAAGAGAACGAAACTTGGTTTTATCAAATCATGAGAGAAGGAGAGAGAACAAAACTTGGTTTTATCAAAACTAAAGAGATGGAGAGAGAACGAAACTTGGTTTTATCAAATCATGAGAGAAGGAGAGAGAACGAAACTTGGTTTTATCAAAACTAGAGAGACAAAGAGAGAACGAAACTTGGTTTTATCAAATCATGAGAGAAGGAGAGAGAACGAAACTTGGTTTTATCAAAACTAGAGAGACAAAGAGATAACGAAAACTTGGTTTTATCAAAACTGAAGAGACAGAGAGAGAACGAACGAAACTTGGTTTTATAAAACCATGAGAGAAGGAGAGAGAACGAAACTTGGGGTTGTCAAAACTATAGAGACGGATAGCAAACGAAACTTGGTTTTATCAAATCATGAGAGAAGGAGAGAGAACAAAACTTGGTTTTATCAAAACTAGAGAGACAAAGAGATAACGAAACTTGGTTTTATCAAAACTAAAGAGATGGAGAGAGAACGAAACTTGGTTTAATCAAAACTAAAGATACGTAGAGAGAACGAAACTTGGTTTTATCAAATCATGAGAGAAGGAGAGAGAACGAAACTTGGTTTTATCAAAACTAAAGAGACAGAGAGCGAACGAAACTTGGTTTTATCAAAACTAGAGAGACAGAGAGAGAACGAAACTTGGTTTTATCAAAACTAGAGAGACAGAGAGAGAACGAAACTTGGTTTTATCAAAACTAGAGAGACGTAAAGAGAACGAAACTTGGTTTTAACAAAACTAGAGAGACAGAGAGAGAACGAAATTTGTTTTTTTAAAAACTAGAGAGATGGAGAGAGAATATGAAACTTGGTTTTATCAAAACTAAAGAGATTTTGAATTGGGATAGTCATACTTGAGTCGTCTTTACAGTCTCATCCCTTGTGCAGTGTGTAACCCTGTATTAGACTGCTAAAGTATCGTAAACCAATAATTAAATTTGTAAAGACTTAATTTACAAATATATATGTACTTAGGAACAAGGGAATTGCTTGCAAGATGAACTCCCAAACATATACTTTTTTATACAGTGATACCCAGAAAACAGTGTATCAAAAATTTGTCTTCTTTCTTTCACTTAAATTGTTATGACTGACATGTTTTCAAAAATGTTCGCATTAAAATTACAATAAAAAATCCTTTGCGACATTTACTAATAAAAAGAAGAAAAATAAAGAAAAAAAATATTCAAGTGTTTTTTTATTTCATTATGAAATGTTTTCTGTGTACCACTGTATCACTGAACACTTCGGTTTATTTAAAGTATCAAACCGACTTTTGAGCAGCTAGAGGAAATTGTACACCTTAAACTAAGCCTTCAATGCGTACTGCAGTGATCTGCTGTACTCTGACTGAAGAAATAGTGTGTTTCAGTGGTTAGTGGGCAAAGCTGAGCAGTATACAAAATTAATCATGCCCTTCTTGTGAGATTAAAGTGTTATGCATAGATTTAAACACAAAGTTACAGTTTCTAATAATGTTCCTAGGGTTTAAACACGTTATATAGGTACTACGTGATGGATCAAGGACTAGCCAGAGATATAAACTTAAACGCTGATAATTTAAACTTAAGTTGAGACAACATTTCTTGCATTTTGAAAAATTTCTTGAATGCAAAAAATCAAAAACAATGTTTGCACACATTTTTCTATAAGTTTTCAGTAGAAGTTCATTTCAAGATATATTTAAGATTTTAGATAATGCATTAAAATTTGACTAATCAAAATAACTTATGTAAAGATAACATAATGCAAAAAACTAAATTTATGTTTTCCTTTTGTGTGCAGTGTACACTGTACAAGTGTACATAACATATTAACATTTGTAATTATCAATTTGTGTATTTTTTGTGTTCTACAGGACAGAAACCAATTTTAAGCAGGAAAATAGTTCTTTGTTTTTATTTTAAAAAATGCCGCTAAGTTTTTATATCTCTAAAAATGCTAAATGTTTATTAAAAATATTGAATGATAAAAAAAAGTCAATGATTATTTCACTGTATCTGTACACTGTCCTTAAAAAGATATTTTCTTACTTTGAAAACTTCATAATACCATATAATATGTATTTCAAAATTACAAAATAGTAAATAATGTATTTTTATGCACATTTTAAACAGTGTACATTATACGAATTGGTTAATGGTTTTATAGGTACATTTTCTCTATAGCGGAAGACGTCTATTCGACACAAATTATGACTTTAAATAGTCAAATGCACATGTGACACAGCAAATTTGCAAATTGTAAACAAAACCCATTTCACTTGATAAATGATTTAATAAGTTACTAGTAAAACTATTTGCTCTTTAACACTTTTTTATGTCGCCACCCGCTTGGTCCTACTAGTTCTCACTCTACATAAAGATTTTATATTGTACATACATTGTACAGTGTACATAGAATTTTTTTACCTTGTGAACGTTCGCCATAGCAGCTGAAGCCGCGGCATGCGCTTTATTAGACGAGGCTTGTGCATGGGTCAGCTCATCCAGGGCTTCCTGAAGTTATTATTTATCAATTTATCAAAACAAAAGTATGAAAATTAATATATATTATTAAGATTATGATTGTATAATAATCATTTTTTCATTTTTTTCATTTTTGGGAGATTTCCAAAAATAAAACATTCTGATTGGTTAAAAATAACTTTGATCTTTTTAATCATAATTTTTAAATTCTATATTGCATATATTCTTTAAGTAAGGTTAATATTTGGTTGCCTGCTGTTTAGCTGAGAGCATTTTTGCTGCTTCCCTAGATTCCTGAGCTGTTCGTTTCTGTACAATGCTCAGCTGCTTCATAGCTATAGTTACATATCCTGCTTGCTCTGCGAAAAAGATTAAATATGAAAAAAATCTTCAAAAATTAAATTTGTTAAAGAAAAAACCTGCAAGAGCCTGAGCAGCGTAAGCTGCTGCTTTTAAGGTTTCAGCGTGTTGAGCAGCTTGTTTCTCCTGGCCCTCAGCAGCCTGTAGAACTTTAGAAACCTACACAAGGAGAAAAAAAGTCGTTGAAGTCTCTTTTTACAGACAAAAGACAACTTGAAATCTTTTAAATTTCCGATCAGTTATTGAATGACAAAAAAGGTGACACGGCTTTCTTTGTTTTCAAATTGACAGAGATTTAGAAGTTTAGGAAGTTATGATTTCTAATTTTTCTATATTTTATATAAAAAATTCAAAAATGTTAAATTCTTTCTTGACAATTGTTTGTTTTGTTGCATTGTAGTTAATATCTTACTTTAGCCAGGAAACTTGCTTCTGAGAATGCTCTTCCCTGAGCCGACTGTGCAGCGCCTGGTTAAACAAAATATATTTGATTTTATTCAATTTTAAGGGAATTTATCCCGCCAAATATTTCCCGTTGTACGGTGATTAAGTGACTTTATCGCCCTACAACAGGGCGAAAAAGTAACTTTTTCACCATGTTATTAAAATTTCACATTTCATACCTAATTTGTCTTATTGTAGGGTGATTAAGTAACTTTATCGACCTGCTTTTAAATAATTTGAGTAAAACTGAATAAAACTATATATGTTATTGAAATGGGTATCATGCGTGCGAAAAAGTTTTTGCTGTGATTTTTAATTTTTCTAGTTTGTTTTCTATCAAAATAAACGAGAAAAAATAAAAATCCCGGCAAAAACTTTTCGCACTTAATAATACCCATTTCAGGGCGTGTCCATGAAAATATTCACCCTTTATTTGAAGAGTTACATGCACAATTCACACCTGTACCCTTCAAATCATTATCTGAGTACAGTACGAGGAAGATATCTCGTTTAATTTTGTTAATTTCCTTCCTTTTCTCTCCTTCATTAATCCACAAGTCACTTGCAGTCACAACAGATAAATTATATACATTTTCAGATGAGAAAACAAGGATATCACAATTTTTATCTCTAATGATCAATTATATTTACGTGGATTTTGCTGCTTACTTGATAGATGTGCCGCATGATACTGTTTAGCTGCTGCCACAGATTCAGCTTCTTTTGCAGCTGTTTTGGCCTCTTCTGCCAGCTTGAGAGCAGCTTCTAGGGCTGCTTTAGCAGCTGCAGAATGTTGCGCCTAAAATATCATCACTAAAGCTGTCAAATTCTTGGTTACAAACTTACAACCTTGATTTCTGGTCGGCGTATTTATCAATACTTTGTCTGAAATTTTGTTCATAAAGTTTAAAACTCATCATAAACATTGCTAAATAAGAGATATGATATAAATAAGAGATAAGATAAGAGATATTGCTAAAAGTTTAAATTAGTATAACTAGAAAGAATGAGATTTCATGACGACCCAAAACTCTTTTATCTCTCACGATCTGAAGGTTCCGTAGATGTTTTGCCTTGAATGCAGTATTTTAAAGGTATGTAAAATGATTTGATAAGATGAAAAACTAATGTTATATGAAGAAAGACTAAAAAGATTTTGTACAGTCGTCTCTGACATCTCATCCATTGTAAATAACCGCATTTATTTCCCGGTTATCAAATGAGAGTTCTATATATGCGATTGTCACTTAATTGGTTCGAAAGATCGAACTTTTTAAAAAATAAGTTAGAAATATCGAACATATAGTTAGAGATACCTGTTCTGCAGCTTGTGCTCTGTTTGCGGCATCGTTAGCTTGAGACTTCCCGTCGAATCGGTTCCCGCCTTTTGGTAATTCTAAATAATATCCTTTAAACAGAGTATTAAACCGCCAACTCGAATACAATAATTCTTAAAGGGAGTGTCCGATAAATTTTCATCTCTAGCAAATCCTAGGATTGTAAAAAAATTAGAATTTTCAATATTACGCTTTAAAGGGACTGTAAGCGTAACTTCAAATGACCCTATATATAAAAACAGCAATTTCCGATTCACAAAGGTACCCTTGAAACCTTTCTCTGATCAAAAATGTGGAAGATATTGTCGTTTTTCTATGTTTAACTCTGAAAATTCCTACATCTTTTTCTGCCGTAGAAATGCGCGAGTCACAATTGAAAATATTCTGTTTTAAAAATGTTATTTTCCCACGGTAGAATTTAGATAATTTTCCTACACTCCCTTTAAGCTTTTTCTATTCATTATCAATTTAAAACCTTGCTCCACATATGAATCTTGACTGAAGCTTCCAGATGAATCAAAATGGTTTCCGAAATCTGAAAGTAGTTTGGATGGAGTCGGCAGAGCTTCGATGCCTTCAAAGCCTGAAACAAGCTTGGACGGGGTGGGTAGAGCCTCGACGGTTTCGAAACCTGAATCGAGTTTGGAGGATTTAGGTTCGGGTTCGATGTTGCCTCCTCCAGGATCCAATCCTACTGAGTCTGAGATGTTCAATTCTAAACATGAGAAAAAATAACTCTTTTCTTTTGTACATGCAATATATGTACATACATTATTCTTATTGTAAAACATTTTCTATGGTCTTGAGTACACCAGAGCTTAAATGGAAACTTTTGTTTGAAATATTTTTAATCTTGAACACTTGGTTTGGATATCCTATGTGGGCCCTTTTAAATACAGGAGGTTAAATGCTTGATCCCTCAATTAAAGCTATATTTTACAGGGCATGAGAACCACAGGATATCGAAGATAAATCAAATTAATCCGTGGGTTTGCATAAGATGGAGATTTTGATCCCAAGATTCACAGCACAAGAGTTCTCACTTCAAGAAACACTTTTAAGATTGCTCATAACTAATGAAATGGAAAATAGAGAAATGTGGAAGAAATGCGCCAAGTTTTTAATTTTCACTTAAATAAATCGGATTAGTAATTTGTAAGTCTTAAAAGAACTGAGTTTATTAATTTGCCAAATGCTTTAAATAAAAATTTCACACCTGTAGTTGGTTCTTCTCTCCTGGTTCTCCCTGGAAACTGTAGGTTGGATATATCCTGGATCTGATTAACTAGGACGAGAAGAACAAGATATCTCATTATATCTAGGTATACACTATAGCTTTAGGATTTGTCAAGTATCTTGGTATCTACTAGGACTAGGATAGGTTGACTATCTAGGTATCTACTAGGACTAGAATAGATTTAGTACCTAGGTATCTAGGACTAGAATAGATTTAGTATCTAGGTATCTACTAGGACTAAGAAAGATTTAGTATCTAGGTATCTATTAGGACTAGGATAGATTTAGTATCTAGGTCATCTGCTAGGACTAGTATAGATTAAGTATCTAGGTTTCTACTAGGACTAGGATAGATTTAGTATATAGGTATCTACTAGAAGTAGGATAGATTTAGTATCTAGGTATCTACTAGGACTAGGATAGATTTAGTATATAGGTATCTACTAGGACTAGGATAGATTTATTATCTAGGCATCTGCTAGGACTAGTATAGATTAAGTATCTAGGTTTCTACTAGGACTAGGATAGATTTAGTATATAGGTATCTACTAGAAGTAGGATAGATTTAGTATCTAGGTATCTACTAGGACTAGGATAGATTTAGTATCTAGGTTTCTACTAGGACTAGGATAGATATAGTATCTAGGTTTCTACTAGGATATGGTTTGGTTTCTAACATTCCTATAAAAGGCAGGAAATGGTCAGTTCCAAGGTAGTAGGTCCAGTAGGGTCGTTTGGCATTATTTTTACATATAGTTCACAATATAATGTTAAGTTACCCTGCTAGGACTAGGATGACTAGGATAGGTTTGGTATCTATATTATCTGCTAGGACTAGGATAGATTACGTATATAGGACAGGTATATACTAAATCTAGGATAGTTTAAGTATTTAGGTATATAACAGGAATAGGAAAAGTTAGGTATCTAGTATCTACTAAGATCAGGATAGGGTTAGTATCTAGGTTTCCAGGTTCAGGTTGAGACTGCAGTTCTTGAATCTGTTGAAACTAAGATGATAAGAATATATTCTCGCTCCATCATGCTTGTCCGAGTAGGGGTTGCTTTGCTCCGCTGAGAATTATTTGAAGAAAATAAAAGAATCAGGAAAATGAGAAAAACGTCCAGACCACAACAATCAGAATAGTACACGTCATTTTCAAGCCTGATGTTATAAATTCTTAATTTATAAATAACGTTTATTTGCCAATATCAAATTTATTTTTCTATATAAACGATTACTTTTGATATCGTCCATTTGGGACGATATTTCCTATTTCTTTGCAACAAGTTGGCGTAAACCTTTGATATTTCTAACTTAAGATTAAAATTCATTCTTAGATTGAAATGTCAAAGGTCTACGACATCAGGTGCAAAGATTTCTGGATGAAAATGAGTTTGTGGCAAAAACTGAGTTACTTTGAAAAGTAGCGACTTTTGAACAACTTCTCTTGTGCACCGGTTCAAGTTGAAGGGAAGTGGTTTAACTAAATCTATAACATAGTGCAACTAATTCTCCCTATAAATTACATTTGGTCCCTGGAATTCAATTCACTGGATTGATTAAACATATCGAAATTATAAATACCTAAGTTTTCTATGCGAAATCTAGAAAATGTAGATAATCTAATGATTTATGGTTTGAGCTAGAATCGCAATGATAAACTTCATAGTTTTCACATTGCTATTTTAAACTGACATGAGTTTCCAGAACAGATAATTGTTGCGATATTTAAAGTTTTTAATTTTGAAAATCATAAACTTTTATCATATTTTTATTCTTATTGAATATGTCCATGTATAAAACATTGAAAACCCGCGAGAAAAATAAATTAAAAAATACAAAAATATAAATTATGCAACAAACAGTTTGTTAATTGCTTCTAAACACAAGCATATTCTAGTTAGTTTTTGGATAAGAATTCAAATCCGTTTTTTCTCAATATCATTTGCGAGTTAATTATCCCCCCCCCCCCTCACCCTCCCAAACTTATATATTCCCCTGCTAAAAAAAAAGAAAGTTGAGAAAGCTATTTATTTCCGGCAGCAAGCATACACACATGCCGCAGCTCATCTGACCCGTCCGGCTACTACTTACTAATAGTGCACAGGAGAAAGCCGGGGTATCTGGGAACTCAACAGAAAGTATCAGATTATTCTAGAAATCACAGGAATGGCTGCAAAGTAAGTATAAAAACATTATATACGCAATAAAACGCTTGATAAACTAAACTAAAGTGATCAGTTGAAAAGTAAAAATATGACTGAAAACAGGTGATTTTCGATTATATCCATTGATTACGAACAATCACGTTTTTTCAGAACGTCTTTGCTGCTTGGTTTCAAAAGTTTCAATTCTTATTTTTTCCGCATAAATTGTTATATTTTAAGAACAAATTTGTTCAATTATAATTAAAAAAAAACCGTAGGAGTAATTTCAAGTGACCCTACATTGAAATTAAGTTCTACGGTACTGTAAACTTTTATCTGAAAAACATTAAGAGAGAAATAGTCGCTTTTCACTCTTCACGTACAATTGTTAGATCCTGATAATTTCCTTCATTGTATCTGCAGCGAAAATCCGCAAATCACTTTTATGTGTACAGAAAACACGATAAACACGGACATTCCAATCTATAATGGAGGATATATTTTCATATGTGAAATTACGCGTTCGAAGTTCTTTAACAAAACTACACTTACTTCTGAATAAATGGCAATTTTTAATTGAGATGTGATTGAGCTACTCAGCTTAGATCGATATCCTTAGCTAAACTATTGAATTCAAGAGCTAAGGTCGTTCAAATCAGTAAATATTTTAAAAGAAAGATTTCACGACCTCTCATTGGTCGCAATCACAGTTTTCTGACAGTTACGGCTGAACTAAATGAGAGCACTAGAGCTACAGGGTTACCCACAAAGAATGAGACTTCATAGACGACTGAGGCTTATATTCATGCACAAAACCATATTTAAAATTTAATTAGTCTTATTTGCAGAGTCTTAGGTCGTCATTAGTCTCATCTTTTGCGGGGAAAAAGTTTCATACAGTGAAACCCTTAATAACAAATACATCGGAAGAATTTATCAAATGTCGTCTTGACAATTTTTCAATTAGTTTTATACTAAATTTCGTAAATTTCAGTATTTGAGAAAATAAATAAATATTCATGAATATGCGGGAACAGTTTTGAAGAGTTCCATATAATCATTTAATTAGAAGACTAAATATCTGCAACATTCCATTATCAGAAAGTGAAGAATACGACATTTGATGAATTCTTTCGATGTATTCGTTATTAAGTGTTTCACTGTAGGTTATTTTTAGATTTTATAAATTTACTGTTGCAGGATTCCTCCACCAGGGTGTACCTGGGCCCAGAGACCTAAACACATTATCCTCACCATCTGCCTCACGGACGTGAAGGACCCCGTAATCAAGGTGGAGCCTGGGAAGCTCTACTTCAAGGGGGTCGGGGGTACAGAGATGAAGGAACATGAAGTTGAAATGGTTTTCTTCAAACCGATTGATGTCGAGGTATAATTCAGGTTTTCAGAGAATCAATAATACTCTTGGGCGCTCCGCACCTGCACTCTTTCATGAAATAATTCTAGCCTTAAATGTAACTTTTCCTTTGCACCATTTTTTGTCGTTCATTCTATTAAAAAAACATTTTTATTTTGTATTATTGTTGTGTTTTTATTATTAACTAAAATTTCAAAACCGATTTTTTTAGACCCAACATTTTTATCGACTGCCATAAACCCTTCTTGTGTTTATGTGAGTGACCACAAAAAAACTGGGCCCGATTCGTACTTTTAGTAATTTAATTTATACAAAGAAATAGACAGACAATCCAAATAAACATGAATTAGATCAGAAACGCGCGACATATATAGTCAATTTAATAAAATAAATAATAATAATATGTTCAAAATACTTTGAATTCGTCGCGGGCTTTCATTATTTTCTGAATCAGATTTTTTAAAAGAAATTATTACTTTAACTAGATTTCTGCCGTTTAAGGTATTCTAAAAATTTAAATTGAGTTTGAAAGTTGATATTTTAATGAAACCATAATTTGACTCCAGAGGTTTTAAATTTTTTCTTAAAAATTGTCTCAATTGGATTCAGGATTAATAATTTATTAAATTAAAAAATATTTTTTTATCAAAAGATAAGTTTGTAAAGATAACATTTAGGGTTAGCCAAAATGAATGAGACATGACACTGAAAATTCATTTTAAGTACCGGACTGACTTTTAGGCTGCTTGAGAAAATTAAACAGTATGATCACAGAGTATGACGCGAAAACGGGACTGTACACCAAATTAATGTGATAATACTGACGACCTAAAAACAACATGACAAAGGAATTGAGTCTTTGCCACAAACTCTGATTTTCTAATCATATATCTTTGCAATCTGATATTTTATAAACCTGTGATATTTCAAACTTGGATTATTTGAAACTAGCTGAGGTGCCCGGCGTTGCCCGTGAATTTTTTAAAATCAAATTATTGAAGAAAAAAAATTTCAGCCCATTCGGACCAGCCGTTTGGCTAGCTATAAATAACATACAAACATATATATATATGAGCGAAGAGCTTTATTATATTTATAGAAGAACTTATAGTTTGAAATGTCTATGGTCTAAGATATTGGGTTGCTAAGATATAGAGGTTAGAAAATCAGAGTTTTTGACTAAGACTCCAAATTCTTTTACTGTATAACGATAAAATTGCGTCTTCTACTTTAAGAGCAAATCTTAAGGTCAAAACTTATGTATGAGATAGCGCTGAACTACACCACTGTCTGTCTGAGTGGTGTGTGGACTGTTTCAGAATTTAAAAAATATCCATTTATTTAGAAATCCAAGTTTGGAGTTCGTCCCCGTGAGATCTCGTTTGTACTGGAGAAGCAGGAGGAGGGCCCATACTGGGACCGGCTCCTGGAGACCAAGGTGAAGCAGCCCTGGCTCAGGGTGGACTTCAAGAACTGGAAGGACGAGGATGATGATGAGGAGGAGGGAGGAGCTCAAGGACAGGATCTAGGTAGGTTACAACAAACAGAAGTTTATTCAAGAATACAGATCGTTTACAAAACAGAGACTTTTAACTTTCTTACATTGTATTTATTCGCAATTTTTCTCAAATATCTTTACGTTTCATAACAGTCATTCAACCGATCTTATATATGCAGGGTATCCAAATAAGATGGGAATTATAAGAGACGACTTAAAAATCGTCTTCGATTTCCGATAGTTGTTAAATGACATAAAGTATATAAATTAAAGAGTGTAAAATGTACACTGTACGTCTTTCCAAAATGGTGTTATTTAATTAATTAGAATCTAGACAAATTTTTCTCTCTCTCAATTTTGAAGGTGCAAAATGGTAAACCACATTTTGGAATTCCTACGACTATAAATTTTAATTATTAACTGTTTTAACTGGGATCTATTAAAATTGTACTCAAGTAATAGTACCGCAAGAAACAAAGACGATATATGAAGTTGCACTAATTTCCCATGTTTTTTTTGGGACACACTGTAAAAAAAATAGGATCCTTCCTACGACTCTGATACAGCTTAACAAAGTATCTAAGTATCATTTTTATTTCAGAGGAGATGATGAGACAAATGGGAGGATTAGGAGGCGCCGCCGGAGGAGCCGGAGCCGCAGATATGGGAGATCTAGCAAAGAAAGCATATCAGAGACCAAGCTTAGACGATTTGGATATTGATGACGAGGAAGACGACATGCCAGATCTGGAGTAGAGAACTATCAGCGGCATTTTGCTCTTTGCGGCATCCATTTTTCAATTTTCAATGACTTCAAGATCCAAAACGAGTTGAAAATTGCTCAATTCGCTGCTAATTTTACTTTTGTTATTATTTACCGTCGAAAACGATTGGAACATACATACACTCATTGATTATACATACATTATTGCCATTTAACATGTTATGACATATTTTCTTAAACCTGTATAATTGTTTGCATTTTAGTACTTTGATAAATAAAATGCTTGTTTTGCGATTATGGTTAATTACAAGAGATCATGTACATCATTTCTGTGCTGAAAGTTAGGTATAAAAAATCAAAAAAATCAAGTGTAAATTGCAAGTTGCGTACAATTTTAAAGACGCGAACGAACAAAAGAATGTTGCTTGTAAGTTTCACTTTTAATTTTAAGAATTTCAAGACCGTTCCACTAAATTACCCTTTAATTTTCATTGACAATAATTGTTTTAAAAATTAATTATTTTCAAATGTGGGTGTGTTGTATAAGTAACATGCAGAACTAAGCAATTGAAGGACAAAAAAGAAGAAATATTCTCTTACTTGTTGCCTAGAAAACGTTTAAAGGGTACCACTCTGAACCGGAAGCGCAATTGTCATTATTGGGGGGGAGGGGGAGGTCGCTTGATATTATGTTGTCAGTTTCTTTAAGCATATCATTTTTTTCTTGAATTTAGAAAAGAACATTAAACCTTGAAAAGTTTAGATTGTATAGTCAAGTAATTAAACCTATGGTAATGTTACATCGTCCATGGGCAACATCAACCCCCCCTACTGAACTTCTGACCTACTAACTTTCCGACCTACGCCAGCTGTTTATTTTTGTATTATTTAAGTATTGTGTTATGATTAAGCCAATTTCTGGGCCGAGCGCTGCGGCTAGGACAGGCTGGGGGACCGAACGCTGGCGTTGCGGCCACAAGTCCATCTAGCATCTATAAAACCACTTGCTAGTAGGACAAATGTGTAATATAGCGGATTTAAATCTAGAAAACGTGGACGGATTTATTTATAAAAATAAATTTAAGATATCGAAATTTACACATTTCTAAGATCTCATCAATTATAAACGTGAAATAACTCAGGCTACATTTTAAAAGGCCCATAAAGAAAGCTTATTGATCTTAAAATATGTACATAAAGTTTAGATATATTAAACCATTAAGTCGTCTCTTAACTCTAATTTTGATGAGGTTAGTATCTACGGTATCTCTTTATTTTCAAGTATAAAAGAAAACTGAGAATCTATAAATAAATAACAAATAACAAGGGGGGTGGTCAATTTAACAAGATATTCAGTCCTCAGTACAAAGATAGAAAAACATTTAATGCCCAAACTAACAAGAAAACTTGGGAATATATAAATACTAATAATCGACTGTCTTTCCTCCACGTTGTAATCCTCAAAAACGGCTGTACGATATCTAAATAAATTCTGTTCTCTCAGAATTTTGAAATTCCCAAAAACAAATCTTAAATCCATGTTTTGCCTCGTAATAGAAATATGTTTGAAAAATTACAGTGAATTGTCATAGGTGTGTAATGTATAGGACATATGTTCATATAATGTACGTATGTAATCCCCTTGGTTAACAAATTCAGCAAAACTTAAATATTTCGAGAGATTCATAACGATCATAACAGTTTTTCAGCTCATTGATTGATTTTATATTCATTGCACTACTTTGTATTCTAATATGTCCGGGTGTAAGACGGGTTGAGATGGTATTTAGCTCCGGGTGTAGGATAGGTTTGAGAGATAATCTCTGGGTGTGGAATAGGTTAGAGAGATATTCTCCAGGTGTAGGATAGGGTAAAGAGATATTCTCTAGGTATAGGGTAGGTTAGAGATATTCTCCATGAATAGGATAGGTCTAAGTGGGTGTAGGATAAGTTTCAGTGAAATCTTTTCCAGGTATAGGATAGGGTTTAGTGATATTCTTCAAGGGCAGACTTAAGAGATAGTCTCCAGGTTTCTGTTATGGTTGAGAGAAGGAAAGGATATCTTATTGTAGTTAGCAAGGTTTGAGTTGATTTCATAATTTTTCAGGATTTGTGAGAGAAAATTAGTTCAAAGTCGTTAAGTTGGGAACCAAGTTAAGAAGATCAGAAGACCCGTCCATATCTATCCAGTCTAACATTTTACATATAGTTCTAGGAGTATTCCGGAGAAAGGTTAATTGTCTTTAACCCTTGGAGAAGTAGGTTTGATATCCGATCCCTATAGCAGAGGATCCAAACCAAGCAAAGCAGCACCACCACGTAGAGAAACCTGAAACAAATGTGGTCTTTGCATTCAAACATTTAAATATGGAGCATGATTTCCGTTGTAATACATGTTACTAACCTAAATATTTTTAGATTGATTTGACCAACATTTTTGTCTAAATTTTCCGGACTAGGAATTTTCTCTTTATTAATTAAAATAAAACACCAGAGCTGAAAACTTTAGAATGATGGATATCAAGATTAATGCTTAAACTCCTGGTTTTACTAAACCCGAGATTATTTTAATATGCATTCGATTTCCAAGAACGAAGTATAAAATTCAACCAATCAGCGTATCATGTTAAGATGTACTCTTCAACTTTTGAAAAACCGAGTTTTTTACTGGTGTTAATTGTGTCATATCAATTGAACTAAACATCGATTAAATAAATGTAAGTTTTGGATTAATGTTAAATAAGACTCGTTTAAAATGATTATAGTCCTAAAATGTGATAATATATATTTTTTAATAGGGTCATATTAACATGATTAAATTTATATTTGCTCAAATGCTCTAAAAGCCGGCTTGTGAACAGCTGACTTTAATTCAATCTGATATTAGTTCAATCGATATATTATTGTATCTGTATTTGTTATCAAACGTAACTTTTCTACAGTGGGCATATCTCAAAAAGATGATTAGGAATAAAAGTGTGTAGATTGGATACTCAGATTAAGCGATCAGGATTAAGGACAACTTATTCTAAAGTTTTCAGCTCAGGATAAAATAGATTTAATCATATATCATTAATCCTAGTTCAGTTTAATTGCACTAAAGTCATTTGATGAGAAACCCGATTATATTTCAATTAAACTGTATTCATTGAACTAAAGTTACTTATTTAGTCATATTGATTATTGATACAATGTCTAACAGAGTTACAAGTTCAGAGAAGAAAATATAAGGTCGTCTTTGGTGCAAATTAACTTTCCTAGTCTGCAGAATAAAGACACCATGCATCCTGTCCTATTGGATGTTGAACGAAGGTAAAGTGCAAATCTACGAGGGGAACATATTTTGATGAATTTACTTGGGAAAATAGAGATCTAAGAGACATTTGTATACATACGTAGGTATGAGATACAAGAGATATGAGAGTTAGCTATTAGACATTTATCTATGCACAAAAAATGTCGTAATGTCATTAACTCCTCCGACGTTTAACTTAAATTGAGATAGCCATTTGATTAAATTCTTCTAACCTAAAAATATAATGTAAAATACAGGGAAAAGAGAGAAAATAGTTTAATCAGAAAATCGTTGTTAATTTCCTTCTTCAGATACATTTTTGTTTATTTGAAAAGAATTATCCGCATTTCGGTAAATATATGAAAAATAGATAGGTCAATGTTAACAGTAGTGGTATATGGGACCGAGAATGACACCTTCCCAATGATTTAATGAAGAACAGTAAATTTAATGTTCTAATGGTAACATGAAACAATGAGCTGAGCTTGGAGGGCTACGTTATACTAAAACCCAACATAAATAAAATAAAATCCATGAAAATTCCAGTCCTCATGTGTGAATTATTAACAAATAATTTTCCTCCAAATAAAAAATGAAAATGGTTTCAACAACGCCGGGGAAACATATTCTGTGGAATTGATGGAACATTTTTGATAAGGATGATAATTTCGGAGAAATATATTCATATTAAAAAAAATACAGATCTCCCCCACCCTACAGTTCAAGGTTCCTACCGGAGAAGGTTCCGTCGCTGAGCACTCCTCCTGTGGGACGGATAGATCTCCAATCCATGATCCTCCTCCTAGGGTTTTATACAGCAAACTCAGATACAGGATCATAATCATCGGAGCAATATACTGAACAAATAGGGAAATTATAAATCGATTAATCAATCAATCAGTAAAAAAATTAATGTTTCTTTATTTCCGTTTAACAATATTTTCAGATGATTGAGAGAAAAGTTTACAAACTCGTGAAATCTTTGGCAATTAAAAAAACTAATTAAAAAATGCAGGAATCGTTCCATTAGAAAAAACACCTAAAAAACATTCGTTCAAAAATTTAGTACTAAATGGAAATCAGAGGCGCAACTAGGGAATATCGTCAAGGGGGTGGGGATTAATTTTGGTATTCATTACGAAATTGTTGGGACGAAATTTCAAAATTTTGAATATTTTTAAAGAAAAATCATGTAATTTGCACCATTTACCACTGTTTTGGTAATTGTCATTTTGTAAATTTCCCCTTTTCAATGTCTAGGGTAGAGCCTTTGCACTTTCCCAATCCTTGTTGATTGTACATCTGATCAGTTAATAATCCTACCTGGAGAGTGACAACACAGAGATAGTAGAAAACCCTGATAACTAGTCTCTGGAGATCAATATTAGAGATCTTTCCAGCCTCTTGCTTCAACTCCGTTACTTTGTGATATGCAAGGTTCAAATAGCTCTGAAATATGAATAATAGGATATTAAAGGGAAATATTTCTCTTAAAGGGACTATCGGACGTAATTTCAAGCGACTCTGCCGGCTGAATTCACTACGGTCCCCTGTAAACCGTAGCCTTAACAAAAATAACGAAGAACTTTTTGTTATTCTCTCTGACAATTGGTTACTTTTAATTGCGGTTTGTCTATAAAAATGATTTTCGTATTTATGCAGCTGAGACAAAGAATTCGGGGGTGGGGGGGTGTTACTAAAAAATACGTGAACAGTTATTAAATTATGATTTATATGATAAATATTCAATATTGGGAGGATTGCTTTTAATTGTGATTATTACATAAATGTGTAGGTCTTTAAAGTTAAACTTTTTTATTAATAGTTTAGTATAATTTAATTTGATTATGAAGTTTTTAAATTTAAAATCAAGGACATAATTTTCTTTCTAAGAAGATGTTTGTTTGAATTGTAGTTCAAGCCTTGAACACATTTTTTTTAATGATTACACAAGGCTGTAATAACGCTATTAAGATTGACTGACCTGTAAGTATGTTGGCATAATAAAGAGCCTGTACAGAACGGTAGCGAATATTAGATACAGTCTCATACTCTCAAACTGATCCTCTGTCATGAGCGGAGCTGACATGTTCCTGTATATCCGGTTTGTGAGTGGATCCCTGGTCAGAGGACGGATCCAGAGTGTGGTGAGGAGAAGAGGAGCAATGAACCCTATATGAAGTAGGACGGATCGTACACTGCTCTCACTATACTTGAGAGAATCCCAATGCATCCTAGCAGTTCTCAAACCAGGGAAGGTGAAGAGAGCTCCGATCAGACCGCACCATAGTGCCAAACATTCTCATGTACTGGAAAAAAATATATTGTTGAAGAGGTGAGGAAAGATTTTTCCAGAAAATGTTTACCCTCTAAAAAAGATACCTAAAAGAGTAAAGGACAAATTTTTTTAAAGCGTTTTCCTTTCTTCATCATAAATTAACAACATTTGATTTCCTTGGTCATTTATGTCATACAAATATTACAATCGCGTTACTTATAATATAATATTATTCTTCGTATTTTTGAGTTATATGAACTTTGAGAACCGTTTTAAAAAATAAGAATGTCAAATTAAACGTTTAAATTTTCTTAAGATTATATAAATTATTTTAAAGTATCCCTAATCCAGTTTCCAGAGTACTCTCGTCCACAACTAGAACCAGCATAGCAAACAGTAAATACGCTCCACCCATCACTAGCACTAAAGATCTTTCTCCGCCCTCCTCACCCTGATATTAACAGTTAACAATTACAATTAACAATTAACAATTAACAATTAACAATTAACAATTGCAATAACAATAACAATTGCAATAACAATAACAATTGCAATAACAATAACAATTGCAATAACAATAACAATAGCAATAACAATACCAATACCAATACCAATAACAATAACAATAACAATAACGATAACGATAACGATAACGATAACGATAACGATAACGATAACGATAACGATAACGATAACGATAACGAAAATTTAGAAAAATTCCAATAAAATTGATCCGACCCCCGTATACCAGAATCCTACCTCGTTGGATGCTTTTTCTGGGAAAAGGAACCCGTAAAGTTCACTAATCATATTTAACAGGTTCATTTATTATGATGTGTGATTTCACTAGAAACATGCTTTCATGACATATTGTAAAACATCATATTTTTAAAAGTAAAAGTAAAGTGGTTCCAGGGGTGTATATTTTCCAAATATAGATGGATGCAGGGGTGTATATTTTCCAAATATAGATTGATGCAGGGGTATATATTTTCCAAATATAGATGGATGCAGGGGTGTGTATTTTCCAAATATAGATGGATGCAGGGGTGTATATTTTCCAAATATAGATGGATGCAGCGGTGTGTATTTTCCTCAACCCCCCTTCTTTTAAGAAATTAGATTTGTTTGCTGGGGAAAAAAGTATGAAAAAGCCTGCCTTTACATGTCCAAATTTTTCATTTTCCCCCATTATCTTTAAAAAAAGGAATCTTAAAAACCATTCAATTAATAAGAAAGTATTAAATTCCTAAGAAAATACGTGATGAGAGAATATGCAGCAAAGTCCAGTAACCACTGGTATTCGGAATAATATCTGAAAATAAGATTAATTATATTTATCATAAATCGATTAATAATCACACTTTAAATGTTCCCAGAATCCGAATTTGAAGAATTTGAACTGCGTCTAGAGGCGGTTCAAAAATGGTTGGTTCAACTTGAAATTTTTATCATGTTTCAAGGTTTGGGCCAACACGCAATTTAAATCGGTGATTGGCGGTTTAGCGACGCGGTTCAAATTCTTTAAATTCGGCCTTCGGTTCTCCTCTCCCTTTTTTTAAATATATATCTAGCTTGTCTGTTTGTTGGTTTATAATTATATCCAACTAGCTAGAGGGCCCGGCGTTGCCCGTGAAATATTTGTTTAGCCTTTGACTCCTCCCGGCCACCCATGAGTGTCCACAAATTTTTTTTTAGCCCAATCGGTCTAGCTGTTAGGCCGGCTACCCGCAACATATATATAGAGTGTCTTGTTTTATTATATAGATATACGTCTAGACGAGTTTTTTTTTAAATGGAATCTCAATGGGATTTTTCTTAAATGGAAAGACATGTTCTCGAAGGTCTTGATTTCTAAAATGAAAATGAAAAAGAGGCTTAATCTATATAATAAAACAAGACATTCGTATTTATATATATATATGTTGCCTATAGCCAGCCAAAGGGCTGGAACGATTGGGCTGAAATTTTTTGTGAACACTCAGGGGTGGCCGTAGAGAGTTAAAGGCTATAATATTTTTTTATTCAATTTTTTTTTCACGGGCAACGCCGGGCCCTTCAGCTAGTAATACATAAGTAGGAAATAAATAAATCAATTAATAAAACGATCAATCACACAGCCCCAGATCAATGTTTTTTATCTTATCTTCCATATCCCTACCTGAGCTGAACCAGATCTCCTACACTAACATAGGTTTTATCCAGGTTTAGATCAATATTTCTGGCAACATTAAACACACCATTTCCCTGGGGAACCCCGTTCTTCTCCGCCTGACGAACCTGGAATAGGAAATTTGTATCTCAAAAATAAAAGTTCTTCCGTTCAAAACGATTTATTTTAGAAAGCACTGATTTTTTATGTTGAGAAAATAACCCCTGTTTAATTTCATGATATACTAGAAATCAGCCTTATAAAACTATTAAAATTAAACCGCTATCTGGGGGAGAGACACCTATTAAACGTGATATTAAAAGATTACTAAAGTTTTGACCTTTGATTAGATTAATACCAATTTAAACCTCAAAAACCTATGGTTATAATTCTGCTATTTTAATGTTTTAAGCTCTAAAGTTTCTTTCTAAAAAGAAAAAAACCGTGTGTTGAGAAATGTTAAATATTTTTATTAATTTCTCAGAGCTGGTTTTCAGATTCAAATTCCTTTTAAATTAATACTCAAATTGCAATCTTTAATAATGCCTCCCTATATCATCAAACGAATCAAACGTGTTTACAAGCTTTTACTCAGCTTTCAATCGATTTTCACAGAAATTTCATTTTTTTACAAACTTTTCATGAATTAAGTAAATGTAAATATGAAATTACTGTATCTGATTCTTAAAAGGGGGGGGGGGATTTAGGAGATTTATAAAACTAACATAATTTGTTTTCTTGTCTTAAAAATAACTCTGACTGAACCTTTTTCTTTTCTCTTTTATCCCTGATGGGAGGAGGAGCAAATACTCTCAGCTCCTCGTCTGATGGATGCAGATACCGGACTAGGCCAGCAAACCTAGGGTTAACAAATATTATTGAAGAACATGCATGATTCACAACAATACCCTTTAAACCTTTATCTGATCATTGGAAGATACCGGATTAGGCCTTCAAACTTTGGGTTAAAAATATCATTAATGGGATCTTCGTTGTAATATCAATTCCTTTTTAAGAAGAGTTGAATGATTCACAACAGTACCCTATAGACCTTTATATGATGAATCTGATCATATATGGAAGATATTGCCTTTTAACAAATCTTTTATGTATGCCTAAAAAATGACAGTAATATCAATTTGAAGTATCAATTGAATCGTATTTCAAATCCATCCAATTCCCCAATCAATTTTGTGATCGCATAAAACCCTTCTAACTTATTTATATCAGAATCTATTTCAAACCTTGATGAAAGAAGCCACCTAGCCAAGGAAAGATGAGGCCCAACTCTTGACAATACAGTAGCCATCATCATCGTAATCACAAACTGAATTCCTAACACTGCCATAATTGTCAATATTGATTTCTCGTCAAACTAAATTTCTTGATTTTCCCAGTAGAATGTCGGACATAGATTTACATCATACTTTAACTGAAATAAATAATTTAAATAATTAATGTAACAAATCATAATACACTTGGTAATTTCGTAGAGAACGATTTTTGGGGTCCGTCCTAATATACGAATTTTTGTCTTAACCTAACCTAACCCTAAAATAGTACAAAGTAAATAATAATAATTTTGTCAAAAAAAATAAGCGGTCATGTACAAAATTGATAGGAGGGGGGGAGTCCAAAAATCGTTCTTTAGGACAGACCCATACATGTTTTAAATAAATTAAAATAATAACGATAAAATAAAATTGAGTTTCGTTCGACAATCGACTGTAGGGCCGGTTAGACCGGTTGTATTCATCAGCTGTTTCAATCTGAGGGAGACTGCAGTTTTAATGTTTGGAGTTTTATCTCCCTAAACTGAAACTCCCGAAACCGACTGAAGAAACTGAATGAACCAGATGTTTGAAATATAAACATTGAAAAACTGGAATAAAGCTGTTTAAATATATGTAGAACGGGTTAGGAGGTAGATATATAATATCCGTATTTCTCCTGAATTTTTACAGGACAAATTAATCCTGATCCCTGATGCACTCTTAGCCTAGCTTTCTGCTAAAATCCCCTGAAATATCCTCTCTCTTTTCAATTAATTCCTGTCCTTCTCACATGAAAACTAATTTTCTCTTTTCATTTCTCGATCCTTCAAGGCCGCGTATACAGAAATCTATAATGGGGGGGGGATGCACAAAGCGCCCCCCCTTCGGAGCTCCGATGGATCCCTGCCCCCTTCCATTCTCTTCGCAATTTTCTTCTCCCTGCAACCTTTTGGCTTTTTCTATGTATTTCTTCATTATTTAAATTGTTTATATTTCTTCCCTTCCTTTCCTACATTTTATCAAATTTTATCAGCTTCAATTTATTCCCGTTGCAATTCGACATTCTCTTCATCTTAGTTTCCATTCCCATGCAGTCTGTTTTTCTTCGCCTTTTTCCTTTATTTCCTCGGCTTTATCCAGGTTACCCGAAAAATAAAACTCTCCATCAGGCACGTATCAGAGGGGAGGGGGAGGGGACTATTGGGACTCAGCTTTTTTTTTGTNCCGAACAATTTTCTGAATACACTCCTGTACTCTTTTCTGCAATTTTTTCCTTCTTTTTTTGTAACTTTTCATTTTCTATTATTTCTCTTTGTTTTAACTCTTAACCGAGAAAAGGATTTAAAAACTCATCAAATATAAAAGTAAGGATTGGGCATTCTAAGTAAAAAAGACTATATAAACTCAGAAAAGTGTAGAGATTAAAATTATAGCTGTTCCATTTCGGAAAATATTTCGTTTCTAAATTTTTGCATCTTAGAAATAATATATATTATTCTAAATGAGCACAATTGTCCATTTAAGTGGAAAGAGATGGTCAACTTTGATATATCATATTTTAAATGGATCAAGAATTCTTGAAAACAAATTCAAATCTGTATAGAACATTCAGTTTAAACCACTTTTCAACCTTGAATATTCAGTTTAAACCACTTTTCAATCAAGAATATTAAGTTTAAACCATTTCCCAACCTGAAACATTAAGTTTAAGAAAAATTTAGTTTAAACCACTTCTAATCCTAGAATTTTCAGTTTAAACCTTTTCCTAATATAGAACATTCAATTTAAACCACTTCCCAACCTTTTTTTGGAAATATTTTTTATTTTTGTTAAGATATTTGGTTTTAATAGGATTTACATGCATAATTCAGATAGGTTTAAGATTACGAAAAACAGATTTTACAAATATATGGGCTATATCTAATACTACAGCAATTTGTATAGTTAATAAGGTTCTAGAAAAAAACGTTAGGTTTATAGGGTTTAAACTTGAAACTAAAACAACATTTGTTTTTCTAAGTTTCGGAGACATTTCTTCTGCATTATAATTGCAGGAACAATAAACAGAAACATTTAACAAGGTTTGATCAAAAAGGTTTAAATTTATAAGTTTTTTTTCCCATGTTTAGAACTATATCAAGTTCAGTTTATCAGTATTTGACGAAGATGCTCGTAGCGCACATCAGAATAAAACTGCTTTGTGCACATTTCAAATAAAACAAATGGACCATTAAATAGAAACGTTTATCAAGATTAGATTAACCCTATCTCTGCTGGGGTACTTGAAAACCAGGATATGCTGGGGTTGGGGGGTTGGGTCAATTTGACCCTCCCCCCTCTAATTCCCATGTTTGATGTCCAAATATGACAAAAGATACATCATTGGAAAGCGGTTGTGCTCTACTTTTAGAATCTGCAAAAAAAATTGCAAATTTGAAACAATTGAATTTTTTATCGCAAAATCCAGTTTTTTAGTAAAAATGTTTGCAAAAAAAGTTTGTCCAAAAAATGAAAAATTATGCATTTTTGAAAAGCCTTTGACCATGCCATTTTAAATATGAAAAAATTTTGCAAAATTTTAAATAACCTGAATTTTAATCAAGAAAAACTAAAAATGTGCAAATTTCTTTTGACAGGTTGTTTGCAAAAAGATTTGCAATTTTTTTTCGCAAAACTTGTGCAATTCGTTTCCTTATGTTAAAGGCTTTCCAAAAAGCTAAATTTTATAAGTGTTGTCTAAGATATAAAAATTTAGATTTTTACAAATTTCAACGTTCAAGAATCCTAAAGATGAAATATTTACCAAGAAGAACAGCCATGATTTTAATCTCTACCGTTCTAAGACCTGGAACCAATTTTCAATTAGAAAATAAGGATTTTTCATTCATTCTTGATCATAAAAAGTTTTAGAGAGTACCATAGTGAATCAGACTTTAATTACGCTTAAGTTCTACCTTTCCCAACCTTCTAGTCAAACCTTCGTCAGTTGACCAAACCTTCTATGAACGTATCTAACAGTTATAGTCCAGATATGCCAAATAATTTAAATGATTTTAATCAAAATAGATCAAATATATACATTGTTAAAAAATGATGATATTTTCCTCTTTTAAATTCGTTTACAAAAAATGGCGAATGTAATCAAAACTTTGGGACTCACATTTCTTCTGAGATTCGATGTTTCAAATTCTTTCTTAAAAATGACCAATGATTATTTTAGTGTTTTATGATTTTTTATTTATAAAATCAAATAAATACACTTATATAATTAAGCTTTATCAATTATACACTGTAATTATTATCACCTAGTACTTTATGTACCACTGTTTTTGATGTATGTACACAATCATCATGTACATGCGATGCAACACATTTTGTACAGTCACAAAATATAAACATCAAGATTGGGGAAATCTTTTCAGAAAGTCATATTTTCTGTAAATTTTTTATAATTTTCTGTTTATAAGAAAACAAGAATTTGCTTTCTGAAACCATTTTTAAATCAAGAGTTTATATAAATCCGAACCGGAGAATATTCTCTCTCCGTCCCGCCGCTAGATGGGGTTAGTCCATCAGGGACGGATTGGTCAAAGTCTATTTCTCCGATATAGGTGATGGAGTAGTACCGCGTTGAGTTGGAGTTGGTGCGCTTTATCACAGACTGGGATTTGCTCAGCGCGCACGCGCACTTCCACTGAAAAATAATAAAAGTTAATTATGTCAAATTGGTTGAAAATTGAAAGGCATAAACCATACGCTGCACGAAATATAAAATAGTATTTTAACATAATTCCATAAAATTTGTATGCCGCCAAAAAATAACTATACGTTTTGCTTGAATAGGTTTCATTTCATATTTGAATACATTTTTTGGCAAAACATTTGTAAAATTGTTTAATTTGAAATTAAATAATATCTATTGGAATGCAATGAATGAATCAAAATTTTATATTTTTGCAATTTAAAATTAAATTAGCAGAAAACAAAATATTTATCAATTCATACCGCAACAAGATGCAACACAAATAAAACAAACAAGTTGGAAAACCAAACAATCTGGTAAACCGCCACACGGTCTGGAAAACCAAACAATTTGTAAACCACACGGTCTGGAAAACCAAATCTGGAAAACCAAACAATCTGGTAAACCACACGGTCTGGAAAACCAAACAATCTGGAAAACCACACGGTCTGGAAAACCAAACAATCTGGAAAACCACACGGGTTGGTAAACCACACTGTCTGGAAAACCAAACAGTCTGGAAAACCAAACAATCTATAGAACCAAACAATCAGGTAAAACAAACAATCTTAAAAACCCCAAACAATCAGGTAAACCAAACAATTAAGAAAATAAACAATCTGGGAAATTAAACAATTTAGAAGACCAAGGACGACCGCACAAGTTGAAGACGAGGGAGAAATGGTAAACCCAGATTTTTCTAAAAGTGGAATATTAGGGTCGGCAATTAAATGCATAAAAGTTATATTTATTTAAAGTTAGCTTTAACAAGCCATTATAATTATGAAAATTAAATTCATATATAAATATATAATTGTATAATATATATATACTTACAAATATAACATACCTTAAGATTTGGAGCTGTTTTAGTCTCCTGTTCTTTTGATGGAGTAGGATTAACTGTTACTGTGTAGAACATAGTTTTCTCCTGGTTCCGAACCAGCTCTTGGAGTAAACCCGCACATCCTTTCTGAGGTTCAGGAGAGCTCTGGGTACTCCGGGGTGTAGTAAACTTATAGATAGCGGTTAAAGCTGCTTGCATGCTGAATCCTAGGAAGTCGTTCAGGATGATTTCAATTGAGAATCTGACGAACGGGAAGAGGATGAAGGAGAAGAACGGAGAAGTCTCCAGGTACCAGGAGATACAATAGCTGATCAAGGACGGGAGAAGGCTGGAAACGAACCAAAGATTTCCGGCTGTTTCTGAGTTGATTATGTTCAGATGTTTTTGACTGGTGTCAAGATGTCTAAAACTGCTCGGTTTAATGTATTCTTTTTCTAGTGAGGAAATCATTTACAGCCCCTACACTACCCTCAAGTAGTGAACATCTACCAAATCAAACCGTTCAACGGTCTACTTTTATCGCCAAAAGTTCAGAAGTAAAACACCGAATAATCTTTTCCTAAAAATCCGCAAATTATTTTATTGCAAAATCTGTGTTTGATCTAACTAATGACTAGACTCTGTATCCAGCAGTCAACTTCATCAGTTCTCTTCTTTAACTGCCAACTCTTCTATTCTCCGGGTTTGTGTGTAGAACGCGCCCCCGCCTGACCACCGTGCTCAGCAACCGTGACAGAGGAGTCAGAAATAGATAAAACTCAGAAGAACCGTCATAATTATGTACAGGCAGTCCGACTCCCAACAAATATACTGAACTAAATACTCTCTCTAAAATCTTGATTTCTAATCCCTATATCTCTGAAAGTAAAACTTTGATCTTCGTTTGAAATTTCAAAGGTCCTCAAGTAATAAGTTCCTCTATAGAAGATAATTAGGTGTAAAAAAGTTTAAGAATCTTCTTTACTTTATAAGAAAAAAAGTAAGTAAACTAATTCATAAATACATCTAAGTTTGTTTGACTGTATTAAACTCAGTTAAGCTTTAATCTTTTAATTAAAAGTTATCAAATACCAAAGAAAGCGGTTTAAATAATCAAAACTTAAAAGCCCTACAAAACCAACGAAATCAAAAACAAAACGAAAAATCTACAGTCTTTGTAATTTGTGCTAAATTCAACTCTCTTATTTATTGGGACACACTGTATACTTATTAACTTACAATAGAAGTTACAAACAGACCGTTGTTTCGTGGAGAATGGTTTCTGCGTTGATTTTAAAAACCGCAGAATTAGACGAACATTAATTAATTAGGATTTAAGTCTTGGTTCAAGGTTGGGAAGAAATCCTAGTCTCCGGGTCTACTCTGAAGCACAGACAAAGGTTTACGCGGATTAGGAATGAAGATTAATGTCCAATACATGATAGGGATATAATGACGCTATTCCGTCCCATTGTTCTTACTCACACAGTCATTTACAATTTTTAGATTACAAGAATTTGATTAATAGAACAAATTAATGAGTATATGGACAGTTAGAAAATAAACGTTTAGATAAAATTTATTTTCTTCTTTGAGGTTTTGCCACAAACTCTATTTTTCTAATCCATATTTATTTGCACCCCGATGTCGTAGACTATCGATATTTCAAACTATAAACTCTATTAGATGAACTATTATAAGTTTGATCAGATATACGGACTAAAACATTTAAGTTTGTTTAAAATTCAATTCCGTTATTTTTCTTAAGTCCACTACTTCCTGTTCAAGATATGGTCAAGGTGTTTTTATTTAATATTTAATATTTAATATTTAATTAGATTCAATTAGTTTAACTTCAATTGAATATTAAACTCTCTTTGGTTTAGACAAGTTCCAGGCATTTCAACTTTATTTCTTCAGCAGTTCTTTTGTTGTTCAGCAGTTTAAGTTTTTTACAGTTATCGAACAGTTTAAACTTGGTTCAAGAGAGAACCAAGAGAAGGTTTGATTAATCCTGTATAGTATACGGATCTACATGTAGAGAGAACGAAGAGAAGGGTTGATTAATCCTGTATTGTATACGGATCTACATGTAGAGAGAACCAAGAGAAGGGTTGATTAATCCTACATTGAATACGGATCTACATGTAGAGAGAACCAAGAGAAGGTTTGATTAATCCTGTATAGTATACGGACCTACATGTAGAGAGAACCAAGAGAAGGGTTGATTAATCCTGTATAGTATACGGATCTACATGTACAGAGAACGAAGAGAAGGGTTGATTAATCCTGTATAGTATACGGATCTACATTTAGAGAGAACCAAGAGAAGGGTTGATTAATCCTACATTGAATACGGATCTACATTTAGAGAGAACCAAGAGAAGGGTTGATTAATCCTGTATTGTATACGGATCTACATGTAGAGAGAACCAAGAGTAGGGTTGATTAATCCTACATTGAATACGGATCTACATGTAGAGAGAACGAAGAGAAGGTTTGATTAATCCTGTATTGTATACGGATCTACATGTAGAGAGAAATAAAGGAAGGATTTACAAGTCATGAATTTGGTTTTATCTATTTGTAGAAAGAATTTCTTAATTCTGAGTTAAATCTCCAGTGTGCCTTGCTTATTCCACTGTGGTTCTGTGTGCAGAGATAACCCAGAGAAGGTTTGATAAACTTGTCACTCGTCTAGATCCGATTAGTTTCTGAGTTGATAACTCTACCCTTCGTCACACCTTGTGATTCTCTTGTTCTATTATTCTTTCTCAGTCAAACAAACACTGAAGTTAGACACACAGACACATAGGTATTGCACTATATACTAAGGTTTAGATTATCCTTGCCTCAAGTTTGTATCCTAGATTTGTTTGGTACCAGCTTGCATTCTGGGTTCCAGTTTTTATGATAGGTTTCAGCTTTCATGCTGGGTTCCAATTTGTATCCTGGGTTTCAGTTTGTAATCTGGGTTCCAGTTTGTATCCTAGGTTCCCGTTTGTATCCTAGGTTTCAGCTTGTATCCTAGGTTCCAGTTTGTATCCTAGGTTTCAGTTTGTATCCTATGTTTAAGTTTGTATCCTATGTTTAAGTTTGTATCCCGGGTTCTAGTTTGTATCCTGGGTTCCAGTTTGTATCCAAGGTTCCAGTTTGTATCCTATGTTCCAGTTTGTATCCTAGGTTTAAGTTTGTTTCCCGGGTTCCAGTTTGTATCCTAGGTTCCAGTTTGTATCCTGGGTTCTAGTTTGTATCCTAGGTTCTAGTTTGTATCCCAGGTTCAAGTTTGTATCCTAGATTCTAGTTTGTATCCTAGGTTCCATTTTGTATACTAGATTCTAGTTTGTATCCTAGTTTCCAGTTTGTATCCTAGGTTCAAACCGTTCAAGTTTGTATCCCGGGTTCCAGTTTGTATCCTAGATTCCAGTTTGTATCCTAGGTTCTAGTTTGTATCATACGTTCAAGTTTGTATCCTAGGTTCAAGTTTGTATCCTAGGTTCAAGTTTGTATCCTAGGTTCCAGCTTGTATTCTAGGTTCAAGTTTGTATCCTAGGTTCAAGTTTGTATCCTAGGTTCAAGTTTGTATCCTAGGTTCTAGTTTGTATCCTAGGTTCCAGTTTGTATCCTAGATTCTAGTTTGTATCCTATGTTCAAGTTTGTATCCTAGGTTCTAGTTTTTATCCTAGGTTCCAGTTTGTATCCTAGATTCCAGTTTGTATCCTAGATTCCAGCTTGTATCCTAGGTTCTAGTTTGTATCCTAGGTTCCAGTTTGTATCCTAGATTCCAGTTTGTATCCTAGGTTCTAGTTTGTATCCTAGGTTCTAGTTTGTATCCTAGGTTCAGTTTGTATCCTGGGTTCCAGTTTGTATCCTAGGTTTAAGCTTGTGTCCTGGGTTCCAGTTTGTATCCTAGGATGAAACGTAAAAATCCATAATTTCTGATATTGTCCTAATTCACTATAGTTGTTAATGATACATAATATTATATTTATTATTTCCTGAAAGATGAAATTAATCATTACCGTGGTTAAACTAAATAACGAAGTATAATTAATCATAATACATAATAATAGACATTATATTAATCGTTATCCAACCCTAAATTTCACAGTAATTCTTGTAAATATGTATCTTTAATACACATCTTCTATCCTTGCTCTTTACTCCCCCCTCTCCTTCACCTTATCTCCCCCTCCCCTTGTATACAGGTTAAACTTTATATAAACTCTCATGTAATAAATAAGTAAAGGCTAGAGATATATTACTCTAAACGGTGGTTAAACTTAACTAATTTAAATCAATTTGTTTTTTAAAACAACAAATGTCATAACTAAGCTCACGCTGCCACGAATCCATACAATTTAACATAAAATTCATATTGTTACATTGTAAATATTTATGTGATTAACAATGGTCCGTTTTCTGAAGGTTTTGATATTTAACTTTATATAAAAAGTCCGAGTCACGATTTAGAAAAAAATCCAGTTTGAAATTTATGAATGTAGAGAAGTAGTTGAACCAGGAGAGTTCAAGTTCCTCTCTATCCTTTATAAATTCCACCCTCATTGTGTTACATTATATTTATAAATCTATTCGCTCATATATTTATATTCATATGTTTGCTAGGCTATGCTGGGCTAAAGAATGCTCTAAATTGGCTGACATTACATTACTTTGAGGGAACCCATGGTATATCCTAAGGGGGGGGGGTGATGACATGCACTTACATTTTTTTTACTTTTTAAATCCTACGGGGCTGGCACTTCAGCTAATTTAATACCGGGCACTCGAGCTAGTTATACTTCAAGATCTTCAAGAGACTTCATTTATGCTCTCCGAGTTATATCGGTATTCTTCACAGCTTTTTATGATCGAGAATGATTGTTTTAACTTTAATTAATCGTTTGTGGTTTCCATACCAAATGTCTCTCGGATTTCTACTGCAAAACAAAAGAGGAAACTGTCCGAATTTATCCCTTTCCAAGCTGAAAAAAGGACGCTTTCACATCATTATAAGATAATGGTTTACAGAGTACTGTTGTGAATCCGTCATGATACTTTTTAATCTAATGTCAATCACGTTAACAGTTGATTTAATTTTATTATTCTCCGAACTGTTTTTAGAAGAAGGACACTTTGAAAATCGATAATTTTGAGAAAATGCTGACTATGCACGATTTACAAGGTTCTGTTAGATATTTTAATCATATTTGTGCTTTTTACTGAGAATCTAATTCTAACCTGTGGGTTACTAATTAGAACCTTTACATGAACTTATAGGTTCAACCAAGTACATATTAATATAAAACAATTTTTTCATTCATTAATAAATATTAATTATATTTGAGGTTTAACATTTATTTCTAAATATTATTTTCTTGAGAGCCAATATATTCCAGATCTGGTAGATCCTCTAGTTCTAGTTGCTCCGGGTCATATATCCGACTGAAATCCATATTTTTCCCTTTCCTAGAATCGACCTCTAGATAGTTTGAGGCCGGAGCGGGACGAGGTTCAGGGTTTGTTTCTCCGGTAGCAGAGATTGTAGAACTAGCTTTAGGAAGGATGATGAGAAGGAATCCCGTGGTTTGAGATCTCTGAGCTGAACTTGAATCAGGTTTGATCTCCTCCTCCAACCTAGATACAGATACCACAACATTAATTACAGCAAGTTAAATTCATTTTTAACCCTAATCTATATATATACTTTGGTTGTCTGTCTGTTTGTCTGTTCGTTTGTATCCAATAAACGTCAAAACGGCTGAACCGATCGGGTCCAAATTTTGTGTGGGACCCAGAGGGCAAAACTTAGAAATGTATCGTTGAACGAAACTCCCGAGTCTCCTTTTTGGGGTCTTAACATTTGTGTAGATTTTGATCTAAGAGATCCGGAAAAATGGAGAATATGAAGAAACTAAATAAAATAATATTTCATAATAAAAATATTGATTTTCACAAAACCCGGGTGGCCTGTACAGCTAGTAAAGGAATAGCGTACATCATCACTCTATTTACTATAACCTCATTGGTGGTTCTTCACAGGACCCAGAGCCCAAAACTTAAGACAGGGTATCGTTATGAAAACCAGTTTTAAAACCCGGGTTTCACGAATGGGTTTAGGCATTTTTGTGAATATCAGTATTTTTGTAATGAAATATTATTTTTTTCAGTTTGTTTATATTCTCCATTTTTTTCGAATATCTTAAATCAAAATCTACACAAATCTTAAGACCCCAAAAAGGAAACTCGGGAGTTTCGTTCAACGATACTCTTTTAAATTTCGGGCTCAGGGAAGGTTTATGGAACATCAAAATTGGGAGCAAGAAATCCTGGCATGTAGCAGAAATTTTTTTTTTGAAAATCCGCCAACTCGAAAAGAAAAATCTGCCAAAATTTGAAAATGATTAAACATGGCCGACTTTCAGAGAAACAGTTAAAAGTTAAAATCATTTACATGAAAGGGGGCGCGAAGCGCTCTAAAAGCCTAGTTATTCATATTACAGTTAGATTCATTGTGTGAAAACTTTTTTTGCTTTTTATTTTCATGTGGCCCCCTGCCGGCAATCATAGTAATTTTAATGGAAGATTTTAATAGATTCACGCTAAACCAGGGTAAGATTAAAATAATTCTTAATACAGGGTGTCCCACGAAACATGACAGTATGCAAGACGACTTGAATGTCGTCTTGATTTTCTATATGATTTGCTGCGTTTATTTGTCAACCTAATTTTAGAAGTAATTTCTAGAGATAGTAATCACAAAATTCCCCTGTCCTGCCATTTCCAAAATGTGGTCTGCCTTTTTTGTGCTTTCAATATTGCCCGAGATATGAAGAATTTCGTTATGAAGATTTTCAGGCTTTTATTTCACAAAATTGAAATCTGAACCAAACTCTTTATATCTTCGGTAATATTGAAAGCACACAAAAACGCAGACCACTTTTTGGAAATGCCAGGGCTAGGAGAATTATGTGATAATTGTTTCAAGAATCATACATGTTAAAGTAGATAGAAGACTAAATGTCACAAATAAATTCAAATATCAAAGACGACTTTCAAGTCGTCTTGCTATTGTCATGTTTCGTGGGACACCCTGTATATGAAAAGAACAAATGTACTCCTGCAAAAACCTTTCGCTTAAATGAATTTGCAGAAATGCGTGGAATTAATTTTAATCAGTATATTGAAACCATTTGTATTTGAGTAAAACTGATTTGAGCTGGCAATTATGTATTTTTAAGTAATAGCAGTCTTCATCCATCTCTGATTTTGTTTAACCCCATGCTTACCTGAGTTGGAAGAGCTTCTTTCCTAGATGTAATCTAACATAGTTCGGTTGTATATCCAGGTTCAAGGATTCAGTCGGAGTATATCTGTAAACCTCCACATGAAGACGGTATTCGGAGCTGGAATAAATATTGTTTATACTTTATATTGATTAAGATACTATCAAAGTAATTTACCTTTCGTCTTGAAGAGTGAACCCTAATCTGGGTTCGTTAATGCTATAAGGACGACCATCCAACATAAACATATTTCTTTTCTTCTTCTCCTTGGTTTCATCAATCCTGTCTCCTCTCTGCTCCTCCTTCTCCTGCTCCATCTGCTCCAAAACCGCCTGGATATATAAGATTTTATTAAACCAGATAACTTACTTGATTCAGGAGTATACCTGGAGATCTTGTCTGGATTCAGGAGTATACCTGGAGATCTAGTTTGGATTCAAGAGTATACCTGGAGATCTAATCTGGATTCAGGAGTATACCTGGAGATCTAATCTGGATTCAGGAGTAAACGAACTCTTCTCCTCAAAGAATTTTTTTCCCCACTCCACGACATCTTCCTCTTTTAAATCGTTATTCCTCTTTTCTTGAACTTTTTTATATTCTTCTTTCTCTATCTTTCTTCTCTCCTTGTATTCATCTTCTTCCTGAACAAGCTTTAATCAGAAACTATTTTTAATTGTTTCATATTTAATTTCACATTTTACTAAATCTACGAGGTTCTTGCATTGTTATTATCGTAGTCGTCCCAAACTATGAATTCTGTTAGATTAAATAATCTAAGTTTGAAATATCAAAGGTTTACGCCTAGATGTAAACATATAAGAATTTGATTATTAGAATTTGTGGTAAGAACTAACTCAACTCTATTACTATGGTTCGGAGTAAGAATAAGAAACTGTACCTGGAGAATACTCGTCCTGATTCTAGTCCAGTTTTGCTCTGCTAAAATTCGTTCTCTTCTCTCAACATCCTTTCCATCCAAACTCTGGATAGATAGTATATATATATATAGTATATATATAGTCTATAGATAGATATTTAAATAGACCTCAGATTATAAAGTATCTATAGTCTGATATATAGAATTTTTAAAAATAAACCTACATATTGTGAAACAACTAATTAAATTAGATTAAAAATAAGCTAATAAAAACTCATAAATAACTAAGCTATAAACCAAGAATAAACCAAGAATAAACCAAGAATAAACCAAGAATAAACAAAGAATAAACCAACCCTAATGCTAGGAAGTGTATGGATGATGAACTCTCTGTAGAACTTGAACAATGTGCACGGATTTCCTGAATGAAAAATATTAAAGTTTAACGCTTGTTAAGCACCGTCAATCCTAGCTGTAAAAATAGGTGTTTGGAGTTAATAAACACATTGCTAAATCATCATTTTTATATCTGCTTTCATGCGAAGTAGTTACCGGTAGTGTAATCTTTACATTTATAAAGATGTAATCTTTTTTTGTTTGTTTGGATGTCCGATCATAACTCAGGAATCCCTTGACTTTGATCGGGAAAGGGAGGCTTGGGTTTGAGATTCTAAGTTGAGTGGTTCCACTTGTATATGTAAAAATCGTAAATTACAACCAAGTGCGGGTAAACAGCGAAAGTAACTATGAGTACCCTGGGCAACGCTGGGTTCTCAAACTAGTAATTCATAAAAATCCTACATTTTAGATATGTTTCATAATTATTCATAATTATATATAATTATATATAATCATATATTCGAAATATTTCGACTGGCAATCCAATCCAATTTCGAAGAACTTGAAATTCTTAAACTAAACAATGAACATCAAAATTTGTTAAAGCGATTGTCTACTCAATTTTAGGGGTATCCTTTTTTAAGTCTTTGTCTAAGGGGATATTCACATATTTATTTTTTTCAAAATAGAAAATTTTAAAAATCTTAGCGCTGTGAATTAAGGTTTGACAAAAACTTTTCTTTTATCTATGCAACCCAGTGTCAGAGAGACCTTTGATGTTTGATGTGAATCGTGCATGAAATTTGAAATTACATAGACAGTCCCTTTAAAGTGTAAATTCTCTAAAAAAAATCAACTTAGAATCATATTATCTTATCATGAGTTACCTGTTAAAAATATCTGTTCTAGATGCACATTTTCACGCAGATTTTCTGGGATGATTAGATAGTTTTTTTCTATCAGGTATTTATTTTTAACTCGGTTTTAAAAGATTGAAAGTTGGCGTTTTTGGTTTTGGTGCCAAACCAAACCAAACGAAATTGAATCTGCAAAGCAAACAATGCTCTGAAAACGTATTTAAAGTACCGGGCTGACTTTAGTAAAAGTTGACCTGGCTCGGAAATTCAAATGTACTACGACTGTCCGTGAGCTATGAGCAAGTTGTACAGCATTCAATACATGCAGAGTGCAGCTGTACATCAAATGAGTCATAGTATACCATTGTTCCTTCCAGATTAATGTGAATATATCTATGTAACTAATGTAACTTTCCGAATGTCTTAATTTGTCCGCCCTGCGATGAATGTCCTTTTATCATCTCAAAAATTAAAAACCAATCCTTATTATCGATCATATTTAAGGAAACCAATCCTTTTTATTGATCATATTTAAGAAAACCAATCCTTATTATCGATCATATTTAAGAAAACCAATCCTTATTATTGATCATATTTAAGAAAACCAATCCTTATTATTGATCATATTTAAGAAAAAATCTTCTTCCTGCAGATGTAATTTCTCCGATAAAGTTTAAGGTTAGATCAAGTTTCCTTAAACCATAGATTAATAAAAATACAGATAGAACACTAGATATCGTATTTTCAAGATTTAGGGGTTTTTCGTTCACAATAACCCTGAGGCAGAGGCACAAAGGAGTTACGTGCCGCGTGTACGGAAAACCCCCAAATCTTGAAAAGACGACATGTTGTTAATTAATCTATGCCTTAAACTCTCGCAGCTTTCCAGACCCTCAATGCGTTCTATTGCATTCATCGAAATGTTCAAATATTCTAAAAAAAAGTAATTTCACAAAATATTTATTTTAGAAATCTTCTTGAACAAACCTAATTTTTTGAGACGTCGAAGGTTTTCCAGTTTACAGATGGCGTTGTCTTGAAGATAAAGAATTTTTAGGTTTCGACAAAATTTGTCCAAATTTTCAATCTTTTTCACGTTTAGCTGGTGCAGAGACACTTCCTGAAAACAGATCAAAGGGTCTATAAATGTAATTTTAAGTATATACCTCTACTGGTAAGGTAACATGTCTGATTTACACCTTTGTCTGATTATCGACTTCGGAGAAATCTTTTGCTTAAAGTTTGGTGCAAACCATACCGGGAAACGTGAGTGTTACTGTTACACAAGTATGCAGTGTCAATTTCACAAAAAGTTACTTTCCTGAAAATTCCAAAAATCTTTGTCGGACTCGGTATTAATAATTCAATTTGAAAACATGTATAGAACTCATGGAAAAATATTGATAATAATAATACTATTGATAATATTAATAATATTAACATTATTTAAAAATATTAATAATATTGATATTATTAATATTATTAATATTATTTAATAATATTATTGATAATACTAACAATATTTTTCAATACAAAAGAGCTTGCACACAAAGACAAAGTTATTAACAATTATAAGCGTTCTCTGGATCAAATAAGGATAGACTTCGCAACTATTGATCAGTCAAAGTTTCCTAGGGTTGTGAATCGGACATGACACTCTTCCAATGGAATTTTATACTTGAAATAACGTCTTTACAATCCTTTAAATTCTTACTTTAATTAAATCTTGAAAAGTCTAAATGATGTTATTTTTGTAACTATTTGAATCCTTCTCATGAATTTTCCAAATTTAGTGAATTTGATGTAACAGATTAAAAGAACTAAGAATTTAAGATTTAAGTTTAGTTTTTTATAACTCACATTTTATCTTAAAAATATTGTAATATCGTTAAAAAATAAAAATGTTACTTTACACGTTTCTTTTCCTACACTAAGATTTGTTCGAAATTTTTGAATGTTTAGATTTTAATAAAAATATTCTACACACCTCCAGATCCTCCAACCGTCCTTCATTGTGCTCCGCCCGTTTCCTTAGTTCGGATAAACTGATTACAACCATCTTTATTAATATCAAAAAAGACAGAAAAGTTTGCTCTGAAAGAGATTCATAATAGATAGGTTTTCTGTAAGAGAGATTTATTACTGACATATTTGCTCTGAGAGAGATTTATCACTCATATTTTTGCTTTTTTAGAGATTTATCACTAACAGGTTTGTCCTGAGAGAGATTTAACATTGGCGTATTTGCTTTAAGAGATATTTATCACTGACGTTTTTGATGTTTTTCCCTAAGTGAGATTTATCTCAGATCTGTTTTCTAGTAGAGAGTTTTACAACGGATGGTTTGCTCTGAGAGATATTTTTTACTGATGTTTTTGCTAAAAGAGAGATTTATCCCAGATCTCTTCGTTATGAGAGAGACTCATTAGTGAGTTACTAAGAGAATTTATCACTACAGGGGACATTAGTTCCAAAACTAACACTTGGCCCATTTCTTTTATTTTTACTCTAAGAAAAACTTCCTCTATGGTTTCGTTTCCTATCACAGAGAAACAGCAAATGAAAATAAAAAGTTTAGATAGAAAAAACCCTAATTTAAGACGCTATCCAATAATATGTGTAATGTGTATACCATGTATCATCTATGATATGAAATGTAAACTCTGCTATTTCCAATTGTATGTGTTGTATGTGTATTTGTATTCTCAAAGTTTTATCAATAAAAGCTCAGACTTTACGAAGAATACAAAAAGAAAGCTAGCATGTAGGTTCAAAGTGTATACCGGAGAAATGAACTTATATTTAAACATTCTAAAGAACCAATTTTCAAAAAAATCTTTCCTTTAGAAAGTTTACGGGACAATTATTACATATAGAATTGATCCGAAATAATCGTCCCGTAATTTTTTTATCCGCAGGTTACACCCAGCTCTGAGTAGCATCTTGGAGATAGATTCTTAATTCGGTTAAAAACAGGTTTCACCCTTAATTTACAACAGCTTCGGGAACTAGGTTCCGTAAGGTTTTTACGAGTCCAAACATTTTAGTTGCGGCTTAAAACAATTTAAAAGTACACCGTGAAAATGTTGGATTGAGTTAATTATTTTGTAATTATATCAGATTAGGAACATTACATTAATTAGTATCAAGTCTACGTGAGCGTTAAACTTAATGGCCATGACCAGCGCCATTTCCTTGAAAATATCAGTTTTTAAGGTCTTGGCACTCAAGGGCGTACATAATACATATACAGGGTTACCCATCAAGAAGTGACGACTGATTCAGCTCTGTTTTGTCAAAAATGCATGATATCCATAATATTTTCTTTGAAAAATACTCATTTTGTATTTTCAATTGTGGTTTCTCTATGAATTGTTTCATAAATAATGAAATGTCACAACCAAAAACTTTTCAAGTTTGAAAAACGATCAAATAAAGGTTTAAAGGGTATTCTTTGACTATTATTATCCTGGATGTTTTTCTTATTTTGCTAGCTCAAATAGTTAAAATTAGAAATATCTAGAGGTTGTAAAGATAGGGATTAGAAAATAAAAGTTTGGGGCATTATATCTAGTTTTTGATGGGAAAATTACAATGTTTCTGGTTAAGGAATTAGAAAATTAGAGTTTGAGGCGGGTATGATCCGATCCTTTCTATTTATATTTACACATGACGGTCTCATTTTTAAATGGTTTTAATTTCCCCTCCCTCTGTACCTAATTCCCCCTCCTCTGCACCCTGAATCCTTCTCTCTCCTGGTTTGAGAGTAGAAAGCCAAGATGGATTCTCCGGAGAATCAGCTGATCTCAGACTACTTCCATTCTGGGATGAGTAAAGAGATTGAAGAGAGTTAGGATGAGAAGAATATTGGAACTCTTCCTTCTTCTGATCTTCGCACCTTTCAATCTTCGGACCAGGATACGGAGACGAGAGTTCTCATGTGACAGAAAACTCTCAGCGATCGCAAGAAGGTATTTTTACAACAAAAACTAAATCTTTAATAAAAATTTGCCTTGTATAAAATATTTTGTTCTATAATAAAAGCCGATCAGGCCCAAACTTTTTTGTGGGAACTCACATGACCCCCGGGATTGTTGATCCGAATTTAAGGATGCCATCTTTAAGTTTTTTTTACGATTTACAAAATTTGATATCTTAAAAATTAAGCAGCACAGAAAGGAGAATCTGGAAGTTTTTACAAATACAAGCTCAAATTATCTTAATAAAAAGTTGTTGAGTAATTTATTTTATGAAACTATTGTGTACTTTATCATTCTTACTTGCTATATTGTGAAAGTTAAATTAGCTGTACATTATAGCACAGCACGTGTGCTATAAAGTGTTGATTTTCAAAATATTTTTTTTCAATTGAAATAAAAATAAGATTGAAATCAACTTCATATTTTGACTTCTGCTTTGTTTCAAAGCTTATTTGATCTAGAAATGACCATTGAAATAAGACAAGTACCCAAATTAACATTTCATAAAATTACTATCACACTGTTATTTTGGCAAGACGTGCTTTAAAGTTTTTGAACTTAAATTTTCTCAATATCTCGAAGGTTCTCGCCTTTTTACTTTTTAGTTCATATTTTATCCCTCGCTAAAGCTGAGGACAAAATTAAATCTAAGAAGACTTGAACCTTCTCAATAAAGAGAAAATTTCTGTCCAAAAACTTTATAACACTGCGAACCAAAATAACAGTGTTATAAATATAGTTAAATTTGATTTCCTTTACCTATGCATATTGTTCATGTTTCTCTCTGTTATGCATGTAAAAGATAAGGCCTTATACTGGGAAAACAATTTTATAATCGCAAATTCGGGGTGAAATTCTAACTATGAATAATATTAGGAGAATATCAGTTTACAAAAATAAAAATATCTGTAACTGATCAGACAAGGCTTTTAAAGGTACCGACGTGAATAAAACATGCTACTCTATTATTAGAAGGTCGTTGGAAATTACGTTTACAGTCCCTTTCAAAGCAATTTTTGTTTCGTCATAATTTGTCAAAAAAAAATTACAATAAGGAATAGATACTTAAATTTAAATGACTTATAAATTGTTATTTTGTTTAACCTATGCCATGAAGATGAGAAAGCTATTCCTAGAATGGAATCAGCATGCGGCAAATCATTCAATAAAGAGGTAGTCAGAAATCATTCTTTAACAACCTAAAGGGAGTGTTCACGAAAATAGAAAGGAATTAGAAGAAACCTAAACATTTTATTCGTGATAAGAACTTATCGAAGGAATTTTTCAATCTTAGCAGAATGCTAGGGAATTAAAAAATTGCATTTTTAAAAGATATAATTGATAATATTATTAGATATAGTCCGTAAATTACACAATGTAATCCTGAAAGACTTTATGATTCTCTGAACCAGGATAAATATCTTTATTCTCTCTGTTTGCAGGATGACCTGGAGAACCATATAGCAAACCGTCACAAGGACCTGTTCGAACCTGAAGATTTCTCCGTCTGCCTGGCAGACTACTGTGATATCCTACGCTGCTCAACCCAGAGATCAGTCAGAAGGAGACCCTGGACATACAGACCTCAACACGATCTACAGACATTCCAGGTAGAGTGAGAACCGGAAAACTCTGAAATAGAAAGATGACTTTTAACTCAAGTTATGACTTTATAAAGTCCAATGAACATGAGATACAATTGGTCATTGTAATTTTACTTAAAAAGTGATTTTGAAAGTTACTAGTAAAACTATTTGCTTTGTAACAACGTCAAACATCATTTTTGTTTTAATGTCGTCTTCCTAGTACACAGATTTCTGGTTCTCACTGTATACAGGGTGTATCTGTATTCCAGGTATACAGGGTGTATCTTTATTCCAGGTAAACAGGGTGTATCTTTATTCCAGGTATACAGGGTGTATCTTATTCCAGGTATACAGGATAAAGCTTTATTCCAGGCATACGGGGTGTATCTGTATTCCAGGTATACAGGGTGTATCTCTATTACAGGTTTACAGGGTGTATCTTTATTCCAATTACACAGGGCGTATCTTGATTCCAGGTATCTTGATTCCAGGTATACATGGTGTATCTTGATTTCAGGTATAAAGGGTGATCTTGATTCCACATAAAAATGTTGTATATTTTTTCCAGGTATACAGGGACAGGGTGTATCTTTATTCAAGATGTACAGGGTATATTTTTATTCCACAGAGTGTATCTTAGTTCTAGACATCTATTATATCTAAAATATTTCAGGTTGCCAAAGCTCCCTCTAAAGAGCTTGTTGCTCTTCTTGAAAGCAGCGAGTCCTTCTCTTCTCCTGCAACCTTGAGACAAACCCGATCCTGCCGGGACGGATCCTGCAGGGATGGATCATGTCAGGACGGATCATGTCAAGGCGGATCCTGCAAAGATGGATCCTGCCGTGGATTTCATGAGTCAGGATCAACTGAAATCAAATCTTCAAAAACTGTTTCTCGTCTCTCTGAGAACTCAACGGAATGTTTGAGCTGCTCTGTGGCACCGCCGCGCTGTGATCGGAATAAAATGCGGGAAATGAAGGAGAAATGTGTAAAGCTAATCGATACCTGTGTAAACCACATGAGCTTATTTCTCTCTGATGCTAAGTTTGAGGAGCTGAGAGAGAGGATGAGTAGTCGGGTTTGCTGGTATCTTACTTGTGAAAGATACTGGGACAACCAGCAGAGAAGACGACATTCACAACCAACTGGACTTTTCATCGTCTTCATTGCAGTGGCTGTGATCTATTTTACCTTTAGTTATTACATCGTCTGGGGCTGCTTTTGATAGTTCGTGTCTGAAGTATTAAAAAAATAGATAATTTGGTGTTACTAATTGTTATTATGCCATGTTGTGCATCAGTACATCGAGTACATCCCTCTAGTGTTTTAACCATTTCAACACATGGAGTACATCCCTCTAGTGCTTTAACCATTTCAACACATTGATTACATCCCCCTAGTGTTTTAACCATTTCGACACATCAAGTACATCCCTCTAGTGTTTTAACCATTTCAATACATTGATTACATCCCCCTAGTGTTTTAACCATTTCAACATATCAAAAAGTAATGTTATGACCAGAGATAAGAGAGTATATCTACATGTTTGTTCATCTTATTTTTATTGTAAAAAATACATTAAAAATATCAATGTCCCGCAATAAATATTTATTGGTTGATAATTCAAAAGAAAGACGACATTTGAGAGGAAATATTTTTTTTAGCCTTTTCCCCTTTAATATTAGAATTTAGAATTAGATGCACATTTACTTACATAATTCAAAAATTATTATTGTTTTAACATTGCTGTTTCTGTCTATCATTGTGTTGAAATGGTTAAAACTGAAAATTTTGTAAATCTGTTTTTGTTCATGTTTATAAATCTGCTGATTACCGCACATGTGTTCATGTTTATAAATCTGCTGATTACCGCACATGTGTTCAAGTTTATTGAAAAATTCAGAAATACCAAATTTTTAATGAAATGTTATTCATATTTTTAAAAACTGCTTTATTACACACATTTTATTGAAAATGTTAAAAATGACAAACCATCTTTTCATTAAATAGATAAAAAAGAGAATGTATAAGTAAGATATTAAAGGGAGTGTTCATGTTGCAATTTTCTCAATTTGTATGGACACTACGTTCTTCGGTATGAGACGTCTTTAACAATTTTCTCCTTACAGACGCAACAGATAGAAGTAAGATTAGTAGCGATCAAAAGCGCTTTTTTATCGCATTAAGCCTAAACCCCCTTTCATTTTTCGCGAACACTCCCTTTAAGAATATAAGAAAATGGGGTTTTATGTATTACATTCAATGTTGTGTAGAAATGGCTTATCTACTGTACTGCATACTGTACTGCATACTGTAGAAATTTATACAGCTTTTATTTACAACTATGATGATGATAATCCCAGAATATTAAATTGAAACCGTTTATCGTTGATTTCAAGTTTAATTATTTCTACATTTTAATTCTATTGTTTTTCTATCTAAAAATTGATACAAGTGATTACTGCTGAGACAATGAAGAAAATAAGACAGAAGACATTTTATTTTTAAAACTTTAAAGGGAGTGTTCGCGAAAAATGAAAGAGGGTATAGGCTTACGGCGAAAGGTTATTGATGATGGTGATCGCTACTAATCTTACTTCTATCTGTTGCGTCTATAAGGAGAAACTTGTTAAAGACGACTTACACTGAAGAACGTAGTGTCCATACAAATTTTGAAAGTTACTACATCCGAATCGGTAAGAAACTAAATTTAATTCGTAAATAGATGATATTTCATAATATTTTGTTTGTCGCTAGGTGTCCTTGGAATCTATCCCACGTTGAGCTCAAGAAGCATTAAGAGACACCTAGTGTTTATGAGACGAGTAAAAAAAAAATATTATGAAATATCAACTTTATAAATCATGATACATGAGTTTTAACATTATTATGTATTCTTTAAGAAATAATTAACATTTTATATAATTTATTTTTCACATCACGGGCATATCGGTTCTCCCCCCAAATTCTCAGAAATTGTCTTCTTTATCCAATCGTGCATTAGCGTGACTCTAAATATATTTCAATTCATAACAAATATTTTTTATTAAATCCCTTAACTCCGAAATCCAAATAAACCGTTTCTAAAAGTTTCTAAATTAGATTTTTGTTGTTTATAGTGTTAAAATCTGTTTTTCTAAGTTTTTAGAATAAAGTAATCCAAGAAACTTTACTGTTCTCAAAATTTCTTATCATAAACATTTAAGCTTTCTTACAAGCTAGTGAATCCCAGATATATGAATACATAGGCTGTCATAAGTTTTTGGATAAGAAAAGTAAACTTTGACAGAAAAGAGTTTTTAGATGTTGAAAGTTTTATCGAAAGCTTTTAAAAACGAAGCAACTAACAACAACCCAATGTTTATCCTACAAGGACAGATAACAATGTAGCATGAGACATCTGTCGGCCAAACTATCGTCTTCCAAAGTACGACCACTGTTCATACATTTTGATCAAGAGAACGGGCTTTGATCTCTGTCCTTATTACAAAGACCAAGAATTACATTCCTTGTTAACAACCCCATGCTTATCCTACAAGCATGTTACCCACAAAGCCAGGATGAAACTATATAAAGACAATTTTAAACTCTTCAAACATGACGATTCCAAGTTGGAATCAAGTCTTCTGCTTTAAATGAAGCCTTTCAGTGCCTTGTTTAATGATTTAGAAAAGAAACAAAGAAGTTCATAGATGCAGGAAACTACGAATATAAGGGAATAGACAGTATAAATTCCGTACAGTCGTCTCTGAAGTCTCATCCTTTGTGTATATCAGAAGTAAGTCATAAATTAAAAGGTTGAAAAGAAAATTAAAATGAAATAATAATAAACTAATAATAATAATAAACACCTGCTATTTATCCCTGGTATATATCCCTGGTATATGTCCCTGGTATATATCCCTGGTATATATCCCTGGTATAAATCCCTGGTATATATCCCTAGTAAATATACCTGGGATATATCCCTGGTATATATCCCTAGTAAATATACCTGGTAAATATCCCTGGTATATATCCCTAGTAAATATTACCTGGTATATACCTTGTATATATACCTGGTATATATACCTGGTATATATCCCTGGTATATATCCGTGGTATATATTCCTGGTATATATCCCTGGTAAATATTACCTAGTATATATCCCTGGTATATATCCCTGGTAAATATACCTGGTATATATCCCTAGTAAATATACCTTGTATATATGCCTGGTATATATCCCAAGTAAATATACCTGGTATATATACCTGGTATATATCCCTAGTAAATATACCTGGTATATATGCCTGGTATATATCCCAAGTAAATATACCTGGTATATATCCCTGGTGAGTTAAAGGTTGCACATTGAACTCCACGTGATACAATACCCAGTTGAAAGGCAAGAGACTTCCCGTTAATCTAATAATATAAAAATTATTTTAAGTATAAGTTGCCAGGGTTGGATTTTTAATCTCGATACGTCACTATATAGACTCTATTAGAGATTCTGTGACGGGTTAGGCTATGTTCAGTTGAAGTTCTATAATCTTTACACTAGCTGAAATGCCCGGCGTTGCCCATGGAATTTTTTTAAATATTAAGTTTAATAATGACACTTTTCTTGAATCTAAAAATATTTGAATGACATTAAAGTGCTGTCGATGTAATTGCAAGTGGAATTTCACAACAATACACACCCTTGTGTTCATATAGTTCTAGCTACAAAATAAATTCAATTTTAAGAAGGAATATATCCTGGTAATACTCCAAACCAAGAGTAAACCATTTGAAAATTAATTAAAAGTCTCAAATTACCAAAATAATGTATTAACAATTACAGTAGTGAAATAGTAAGAAATATTTTCATGAATACCTTTATATTTCTCCATAATGGACCTCCTGAATCCCCTTGACAGGAGTCTCGTCCTTAGTATATTTAGTGCTGTCAATATTTCCGGAGAATTTTGTTCAGATTCAGACAATTTTGGTTTTATTTAATAAATATAGATATGAACGAAATTCTTGATATATCCGACAATATTAACAACACAAAAATTGCAGACGACATTTCAAAAATGCCAGGACAGTCATGTTTCATGGGACACCCTGTATTAAAACATTGAAAGTTACATTTAAAAAAGATTTACCTCCCAGATACCAGTTGTACGGGTAGTCTTGAGGTAGTCCTGTCAGGTCCTGTTTGTAACTTTGGAATAAATATTTATATTTGGAGGGACGGCTAATCTTTTCCTTAGCAGGGTCTCCTTTTACATTTTGATACGCAATTGCGTCAGCTGTCAACTCTTCCTTGGTCTTCCTGCAAATGTAATCGTCTTTATATCCCGTAATTTAAAGGGACTGTAAGCGTAATTATAAGTGATCCTTCGTACAAAGATTACAAGCTTCGTCTGATCAAGTATGAATTATAATATCCCTAGTATATATCCGTAATTATAAGTGATCCTTCGTACAAAGATTACAAGCTTCGTCTGATCAAGTATGAATTATAAATTAATATTTATAAAATTGAAATCTCAATATTTGCAGTTGTGGTTTTCTATAAAAGAGACTTTCTACTGCAGAACAACATTTAGGAATTATCAGAATTCTATACTTTTAAACCTAGAAAAAAACGACAATATATTTTTCATTGCTGATCAGATAAATGTTTCAAGGATACCATTGTGAATCGGGTATTCTCATCTTTGCAGGTAGGGTCACTTGAAATCACACTTACAGACAGTTCTTGACTTTTCTGTTCTTAGGCACAATTTGTTTCAGAACAAAATGATGAAAGTATTTAATACATTTACCAGCGAAAATACAAAGTCTTATACAAAGAAAAACGATGCGCATTGATCACCCTGTAACCGATATCTGGGATCACCCTGTAACCAATATCTGGGATCAACCTGTAACCGATATTTGGGATCACCCTGTAACCGATATCTAGGATCACCCTGTAACCGATATCTGGGATCACCCTGTAACCAATATCTGGGATCACCCTGTAACCGATATCTGGGATCACCCTGTAACCCATTTCAGGGATCACCCGATTTATTGCATTTGTGAAACCAGGTTTAAGCATATTTTTATTTTTTTAATATACAAGAGATATATTTAGATATATTTGGATATATCTAGATGGATTTGGATATATTTGGACGGATTTGTATATATTTATATGGATTTAGATATATTTTTTATATTTTTGGATGGATTTGTATATATTTATATGGATTTAGATATATTTTTTAAAATTTTTGGATGGATTTGTAAATAGATGGATATATTTGGATAGATTTGGATATATTTGAATATATTTGGATATATTTGAATATATTTGGATGGTTTTGGATGGATCTGGATGAATTTGGATATATTTGGATGGATTTAGGTGGATTTGTACATAGATGAATATATTTGGATGGATTTGGATGGATTTAGGTGGATTTAGGTGGATTTGTATATAGATGGATATATTTGGATTGATTGGGTTATATTTAAATATATTTGGATGGATTGACTGAATTTGGATATACTCGGATGGATTTGGATGGATTTGGATGGATCTAAAGATATAGGATCGGAACCATAATACCATTAAAAGTAGAGAGCAAGATTTTTATTTATTTTTGTCTGAAAACAATTTTATACCTTATACTTAAATATTATAAATATTATACCTTACTTAAATATTATACCTTACTTAAATATTATACCTTACTCAAATATTTTACTTTACTTAAACATTATACTTTACTTAAATATTATACCTTACATAAATATTATACTTTACTTAAATTTTATACCTTACTCAAATATTATACCTTACTCAAATATTTTACTTTACTTAAATATTATACCTTACTTTCACAAACTCATAGCGTTGTGATGGCAGAATTGTTTTTTTCCCCGCACACATCTCATACTCTTCATTAAACTTCATGTGCTGAACAACAAGAGAACAAGATTACTCATGTGCTGAACAACAAGAGAACAAGATTACTCATGTGCTGAACAACAAGAGAACAAGATTACTCATGTGCTGAACAACAAGAGAGCAAGATTACTCATGTGCTGAACAACAAGAGAGCAAGATTACTCATGTGCTGAACAACAAGAGAGCAAGATTACAAAGAATTTTATTAAAACTGTCCTCCAAGGGCCTACTGAAATATCCAATAGAAAACAGATCTTTGGTCAGCATAGAGAACTTCTCAGGGTTGTAAAAGTTGTTAAAATCAAATTATTTTTTATAGAATTATCAGACTAATGGTCTTGGCAACATTATTTTAAGCGTAGACCTTATAATTTTAGATTCCCGTCAATTATCTACTTCTTTATAGATCTAATAAATGATGGTATAATACAACTTTTTTCTTATGCAATTTTTTACTATCTCTGACACGTTCTTTCCCCGAACTATAACTTCTATTTAAAGTTGCAAACATAAGTTTATCTAAATAAATAAATCTTCTTTGGGAGATCTTTTTAAAAGTTAAAAGGTAATAATAGTTAATAAATGATTATTAATTCAAAAATCGAAGAAACTGATTGCGCGCCTCATACTCTAATTTGCTAATCGCCATATTTTTACAACCTGATGGTGTAAATCTTTCACAGTTCTAACCACACTATTTTTTTGTTCAAAATACTGCAAATCAAATCTAAGCAAATCAAAGCATAGTTGAGATTGTATTATATATATTTAGATCCAGCAGAGTTTATTAAATGTTCAAGATCTACAACATCAGACTCAGAGCTGAAAACTTTAGAATGGGATATCCTTAATCACGATATCTTAATCTGATTATCCAATGTGCACACTTTTGATTTTCTATTTAATGCTCTTTTTTGGATAATTCTACTGTATAAAATTACGTTTGATAACAATTACAGATAGAATGTTATATCGATTGGACTAATATCCGATTGAATTAAAGTCAGCTGTTCACAAGCCGGCTTTTAGAGTATTATAACAAAGACGATATCGAATTCGTCACTGAATTCCCATGTTTATTGGGACACCCTGTATATCTTTATGTCGCTTTAATTTCTTCTACTTGTTATAGTATATATTTTGGTATATCCGCTTTGCCTAGAAACTAAACTATTAACTCAATCCACTCAATTTAGAATTTTTAAACTATACTAAGAACATTCCCGTGGTTCTACCGAGGCAAATCGGTTATGGGTGCATACAATCAAAACGCCCACCCAAACAGATGTTTGTCTTATAGGAAAAAAATGGAAAATTGAAATTTAAAATTTCAAAAATTGCAAAGCCATCTGTAAAAACATAAAAAATGGGCCAAAGAATTAAATCTTTGTCAAAAACCAAATTTTTTACATCCATATATATCTTTGCAACCTGATGGTACTTTAAACTTAGCTTATATGATTTAACAGAACTCATAGTTTAAAATGCCGAAGGTCTGCGACATTGGGTTGCAAGACCTAGGCAATAGTGTAGCGGAGGCAAGAATTTGATGATCTTTTAACGAAAAGTTCAGGATCATTAGAATGTGTGTCAAAAACTTTTTTTTTGATGTAAAGCAAAGCNGTTTATATTCCTGGTTATCTCTAGATATCACCTTATTTTTGATGTAAAGCAAAGCTCCCAATATGCCTAGTGTTAGTTTATATTCCTTGTTATCTTTAGATATCACCTTATTTTGATGTATAGCAAAGCTCCCAATTTGCCTAGTACTAGTTTATACTCCTTGTTATCTCTCTAGATATCACCTTATTTTTGATGTAAAGCAAAGCTCCCAATATGCCTAGTACTAGTTTATTTTCCTTGTTATCTCTAGATATCACCTTATTTTTGATGTATAGCAAAGCTCCCAATATGCCTAGTACTAGTTTATATTCCTTGTTATCTCTCTAGATTTCACCTTAATTTTGATGTAAAGCAAAGCTCCCAATATGCCTAGTTCTAGTTTATATTCCTTGTTATCTCTCTAGATATCACCTTATTTTAATGTATAGCAAAGCTCCCAATATGCCTAGTACTAGTTTATACACCTTGTTATCTCTCTAAATATCACCTTATTTTTGATGTAAAGCAAAGCTCCCAATATGCCTAGTACTAGTTTCTATTCCTTGTTATCTCTCTAGATTTCACCTTAATTTTGATGTAAAGCAAAGCTCTCAATATGTCTTTATATTCCTTGTTATCTCTACCATATCACCTTATTTTTGACAAGCTCTGTTGCACACCAACCCGGAAACTTTGAGTCAGGACCGGGGTTTTCTGCCAGATATCGCTTCGAGACCATCTTCACAGATCTCAAATTCAAATTCAAAAATAAAGATGACTTAAATATTTTTCTTTAATTTCAAGTGACCCTCCATACAAAGATGGCAATGCCCGATTTACAACGGTACCCTTGGAATCTTAAAAAATGAAAATGGTTAAAACCTGAGCATCATAGGCGTTGAACGATATATATAAGACATCTATCTGATGTTCCTGTCTCGAGAAATCCTTCTTGGGGTTATCATAGTACTTGCTCCTTAACACAGTACCTGACACAGAAAGCAATCATGCTACATATTCATTTGAAGCGTAGTTCATCTGAATAATGGGTTTTACTTAGAAGTTTACAAACGTAGATAGTTAATAATGTTACAGTAATATTACAAACAAAATACGTGGTGTCTCTTTGGTCTGTGTATTTTTTGTAATGTTTATTTTCTTAGACTTTAGCCGGACTTTAAATAACACATTTAATTTGGTTTATAAATACAAATAGTATGCCAGGGGGTGTTAAATAAGTATTGAAGTTTATTTATTAGATAAAAATACGGTCTAGGAAAGTAATTAGTGGAATGTTCGGCGAAGCATTGAAGGGAATGTTGAATGGGTACCATTGTGAATCTGACAAGCCAATCTTAAAATGAAAAATTACTTCTAATATCATTCACAATCCTTTTGAATCTAATCTAAGTGTTGTTTGAGTTTCCCTGTATATCTGTGGTGCTACAAATATAAGTTGCATTTTCCTTTGCAAGATCAACAATCTTAACTGGAGCTGAGTTAGCAATAGCGTTGAAATCTCCATAGCTCCAGTTCTGTGAACCTGGAACCATATTCTGGAAGTTTGCTTCTTTCATGAATTCCTGGATAATTTGAAGTAAGTGTTGTATGATCATACTAGCTCAATTTCCCGGCGTTGCCCGTAAAATTAAACAAAAAATGAAGAAAAAATGTTCAAAAACTTCCTGTCTTGAAAGAAAAAACGAATTTTTTAGCCTATGTTACCCCCAGGGTCCCCAGGGTCCCCATGGGTTTTCTAAAAAATGTCAATTTAGTCCAACCGATTGGTCAGCTATAGCATACATATAAATATATAGTATGAGCAAACGAAGAGCTTTATTATATAGACTAACTGGATCGCCCGGATTTTCCAAGGTTTATATTATTATTGATAGTCATAGTNTGGTTCAGGATTATGGACTGTATATACTCCGTATACCTGACATGATAGATAGAAATCATCTGGTTCAGGATTATGGTCTGTATATACTCCGTATACCTGACATGATAGAGAGAAATCATCTGGTTCAGGATTATGGACTGTATATACTCCGTATACCTGACATGATAGTGAGAAATCATCTGGTTCAGAATTATGGACTGTATATACTCCGTATCCTGACATGATAGAGAGAAATCGTCAGGTCAGGATTATGGACTGTATATACTCCGTATACCTGACATGATAGAGAGAAATCGTCAGGTTCAGGATTATGGTCTGTATATACTCCGAATACCTGACATGATAGAGAGAAATCATCTGGTTCAGGATTATGGACTGTATATACTCCGTATACCTGACACGACGGTGAGAAATCGTCAGGTTCAGGATTAGTTAATGTACAATCTGTTGTCATGATGCCGGCTACCGGCCAGGACTTCTCGCACTTAGATGCTCGGCCAGGGAACTCAACGCTAGGAGCTGTTAGACAAGTTGAACCAACATTTTTGTCAGATATTCTCACTCCCCAACCTGCTACTATTCCACATCCACCCTTGCAAGGGAAACTGGTATTAGTTAAATCACGTTAAAATATTTGGAATATTTTCATAATTCATATTTTAGTCTCTCATTCAAAACCCGGAAAAAATAGCGTAATTAAAGACCGCATACATTTGAACATATAATCCATTGCCCAACATAAAAGTACAAAATAGCTAATACAAAAAATCTACATTTAATGGGTGTACATGGTGTACATGGGTTCTGAAGTTCAAACTGACTAGACTTGTAAACAGGGAACCGTGAGATATGCATTATAAACCTTCTTTGATTTGAAAGAAGAATATTAAAGGGACTGTGAGATATACATTATATACACCTTCTTTGATTTGAAAGTAGAATATAAAATATTGATGTAAATATTGTATGTCCAATTAGCGGTATCTTTAACAGCTTTGTCTGATGAATCAGATATCTATGTTTTTGTTTAAAAAAACTGATTGTTTTCTGTTGTGGTTTCTCTATAAAAGTGACTTATGCATTTCTTGCTTTAGAATCAATGAAGAAATTAACAGAAACAATGATCAGATTCAGGTTTCAAGGGTACCGATGTTTGCCCCGCGTATTTTTAAAATAGAGGGTTTTAAAAAATGACAACGTTAGTTCCTGTTAATGTGAATATACCTTCATCCTAAAATTGATATGTCCTAGTTCCCCCTGATTTGCAGGCCTGTCCTGAACAAAACTTGGTGTCTCATAAACAGAAAAAATTGTTTATTTGTTTTTTAAAAAATTAAATCTTTAAAGTTGTACCACTGCCATATCTGGACAGGGCGGGTAGTCAGCTAAGTCTGGAGTTGCGAGACAAATTGGTCGGACACTGTCCGAAAATGCTGGAATTGCTCGAGCTAACCTAAAACACATCTTACTCAGAGCATTTATATATTGAAATTCTATGTTTTTAAATCCAAAAATGTAACACTACAAAACTTATTGGTCACTGACAAAAAAATCAATTTTCAATAAGATCAAATGCAAATTACAATAAGCTGTATAACTTGAGTTTTTGGATAAACATCTAAATTTTCAATCTTTGATATTTTAAATTTAGAATATTTGATCATAACAGAATTCATTTTTTGAAATACGACACTGGATTACAAAGATTACAAAAATCAGAGTTGGTACAAATGATCGAAAAGAAATATGTTAGTGAACTGGGGGTGGAAAATATGTACATCTACTTTATTCACATCAATGCCAAAAAACATTCTTATCGCGGTAATTAGATCTTACAGATTAAGGACTATATATGACGTAATTATAAGTAACTCTCCATTTCACGGGCAGCCGTAGTACATTTGAATTTCCGAGCCGGGTCAACCTTTCCGGTCCCAGTTTGTACTGTACCCAGCTCTATGGACAAGACTAGACGGTGCAATAAGGTTGACGTGGTCAGACTTTATGCTTCATATAGGCTGAATTGACTTTTACTAAAGTGGCAGAGGTGCTTGATTTACAATTGTAGCCTTTAGATAAAATGAGGCAAAGATAACCAAGGAAATTAACAGAATCCAACACGTTTAGGCTAGAAAAAGATGATTTCTCCCTCCCCATTTATCTGATAAAAGTGTAGCAATTTTTTAACTAAATTTTCAGAATCATTTTTATGAAATTTTACGATTTGTTATTTTGTTTTTACATTGACGCAAGAAATGAAAGGCCAAAAATTATCATGGCATAAAATGGGAAAATACTCGGGCTGATCCCACTTTGTAAATGTAGTCACATAAAACTTTAAAATGTCTAAAATGTATAAAATGTATAAAATGTATAAAAATGTCTAGATGTATCCCTAACGATGAGTATATCCGGGGTATTAGATAACTCCTGAGAAGAAGAGAGGCTGGGATGAATCCACATCATATCAGTCATATACAGGAAACCAGCTTTTGTAGCTAGAACAAAGCATACTTTTTATATGAAGAAAAGTTTGGAAAGTTGGGGGGAAAATGAAAAAAAAACGTTAAGAAAAGTTTATAAGAAATGTTGGGAACAGATGGTATAGTAGCTAGTTGGGAAAAATTGGAAAAAGTTGAAAAATGTTGGGGAAAAATTGGAGCAGTTGGAAAAAATTAAAGGGAACAGACCGGCTATGTAAGGTGGTTGTGGACAAATTCTTTAGGATTCATTTGAGACATATAGAACTTTTTAAAGATCTGTAAATCCTGAGTTTGAGCGCAAAGTCGACGTTCAAAATCGTACTTTTGGGTGGATGCGTTTTCAGAATTGTTTTTATTTTAAAAATGTAAACAAAATTCAACAGTAAATTAATTAGTTGTTTAGGAACAGGTTTAGAAAATAAAAAATAATCTTATCATCGAAAATAAGTAATCTTGTTCAATTATTAGTTTATATTTTCTCATTATTCTGGTTTCTCGTTATTCTCAAAGATTTTCTGCAGATTTTCTGCAGATTTTCTGCAGATTTTCTGGAATTATTATTGAAAAGAAGACATTTGAAGAATTTGTAGAAATCTGCGAAAAAATTTATAGAAAATAAGAAATTCAATGTAATGATGAAAACGAAATAATTGATTCTAGCATTGATATATTGACAAATTGCTTTTGAGAAATATGTTCCTAACCATCTAATTAGTTTACTGTATAATTTTTACTTTATTTTTCATCGTCGTTATTTAATAACTTAAAAAAGACCGATTCTGAAAACGTACCCACTCAAATTCATGATTTTGAACGTCGACTGTGCACTCAAACTCAGTAATTGTACATCGTGGAAAAGGTTTACATGTCTCAAATGAATCCTAAAGAATTTGTCCACAATACTGCATATTCATTTCAACTAACTTACATAGCCGGTCTGTCCCTTTAAGAAAGTTAGAAAAGGAGGGGAGAGATGGAAGAGTTTTATCATGGTTACTAATAAAATCTATATCCTCTATACCTTCTTCTTGGTTTCTCAATTCATCAACCGTCCAGGGAAGACCCTTTAAATAAATTCTTTAATAAAGTTTTTATTGTTTTAAATTATATTTATAAAGTTACTGATGTCTCGGAACAATTTAGAATTCTCTGATCCTCCTTTTAAGAATAAAAATATTTTAAACTTAGAATATTTGATCTGTAAAGTTTGAGGCGTGTTATAGTCCTAGGTCGGAACTTTAGTTGAAAGTATCGAGAATCTTGAACGCTTGAGATGGAATTTAAAGAATTTGAGCCGTGGTTTAAATCCCCAAAACCCGGTTTAAATTAAGCGCCGGCTTAAATCTTGAAACATTTGATACAATTTTAAGTGGAACCAATCATATTTAAACCGCGGCTTAAATTTAAACCGCCGCTCAAATTCTTTAAATCCGGCCATTGGTCTCGATATCCAAGTGGGCACTTTAAAATTTGAGGATAAATTCATGATCCTTCAATTAAAATTATCCCTGCAGGGTTTGACCATCACGGGATATCGATGAGGAATCAAATTAATCTGTAGATCTTTATTAAGTTCTGATTTCAGAGCTGGGATTATGTAGTAGGTATGTTCCTCTAACGTTAACGTTAGGTATGAGCTCCTATAACGTAAACGTTTAACGTTCACGTGATATAGAATATATCCAAACGTTACACATTATTGTAACGTAACGTACAAAAAAGTACATTTTACGTTACGTTACACTATCTCTACGCCATACTAAATCTATTGGTTCAGAATAGAGAACAAACACATGGCTGAACCCTGATTGGATCCGGCGCTAATGGACCGGCATACTAGAGTGATGCATGTCTGCAAGTATGTGATACGTATCAAAATAGAAATCAAAACCTGTCTTCGTTGTATTGATATATATGACGACGCCTGTAATACAAATTTCACTAACCTTGATTGTTATAGGAACACTAGGTTGTACATCACCCATTTGCCTTTAATTAAAGGGATTGGTCAGGTATTTAAATAAAGTTGCAGGCAATGCTGTAACTAGGGGGGGGGGTAGAGGCGCGTTTCCCCTTTCTCACCCCCGACTAACCAGGGCAATTTGCATTCGGTTTCTTCTGTTTTAATTCAATCGGATTTTAAAAAGATAGAATTGAGGGTAAAATGACCGGTTTTGATAAAATTTTTTGATAATTTTACAACAATTTTCATTTTTACAAAAACACCCAATTACAGCCCTGGTTGGATGTATCAGCTTTAGAACAGAGAATTTTAATAAAAGATTTCTCACATATGAATATGATTGACAGAACAGTAACTATTTCGCCATGTAAAATAATTTCTGAAGGAATCTCCGGATTTTTCTTCATCAAACTTTCAGCGCATTTTCAATTAAGCGTATGTTTGAAGTTTAAAGATAAAATGACGAAATCAATTTTTTCTATATGTTTTTAGCACCCTGTTCAATAATTGGTACCTTCCTCATTATTCATATATCATGACCAGTCCTTTTTCATTTGGCATGGATCAGAATTATTATAGAAATTAAAAATTGAAAATTGATAATTATCTTCATTATTAAAAATAAAATTACTTCCTTTTTTGTAAATTTTGTTAATTTATTGATTATAATTCCGAATTTGAAAAAAAATTCAAAAACTTAAAAAAATATATTTTAATGAAGAGGCCTTACAAAATAGTTTAAAGAAATGATTCGTAAAAATAAATAAGTTTTAATAAGTTTTTTAACCTGGAGCAGAAGATAGGAAAATTTGAAGGGCTACAAATACAGTGAGCAGCTGATAGAATAAACCTATACAAATATATTGAGCAGCTGATAGAATAAACCTATACAAATACAGTGAGCAGCTGATAGAATAAACCTATAAAAATACAGCTGATAGAATAAACCTACACAAATACAGTGAGCAGCTGATAGAATAAACCTATACAAATACAGTGAGCAGCTGATAGAATAAACCTACACAAATACAGTGAGCAGCTGATAGAATAAACCTATACAAATACAGTAAGCAGCTGATAGAATAAACCTATACAAATACAGTGTACAGCTGATAGAATAAACCCACACAAATACAGTAAGCAGCTGATAGAATAAACCTATACAAATACAGTGAGCAGCTGATAGAATAAACCTACACAAATACAGTAAGCAGCTGATAGAATAAACCTATACAAATACAGTGAGCAGCTGATAGAATAAACCTATACAAATACAGCTGATAGAATAAACTACAAATACAGTAAGCACCTGATATAAAAATGTAGTAAGCATCTGATAAAATAAACCTATACAAACACAGTATAGGTGGCTAAAAATTCTGATTATGTAATCCCTATATCTTTGCAACCAGTTTTAGAAAACGCTTAATAATTCAAACTGAAAATTCCTTTAGATAAAAATGTCTAGGTTTAAAATGGTTTATATCATTAGGGTTGCAATGATAGGAATTGGAAAATTAAAGTTTGTGGCGATACTACTGTTTAGGTCCTTTTATCTGTTCATTAGGGGTTTTCATTTTTACAGATTAATTAAAAGTTTTCGGAAATAAAGGGAGGAAAGAATCTTTTTTCGGCAAATGAAGAATAAATCTACCTCCTAGATGCTTCACAGAGCCAGGTGTCACGCAGACGCTGATAAAAGTATACGGAACGATTACTCTCACCCCGGACTAACCACAGTGAACAGTAATCGGTTTGTTCTATTTGAAATCAAATGTGTTTTGGTCTATAATTCAACAACCTTTTACTTTACAGATTTGTTTATTCTATATATTTTCATTCAAAATACATATGCCGACATAAAAGTATAAAAACAAATTATGTTTAATAGGTCAAATTGTGATCTAAAGTCACAGCTTTCTGGAATATTGACAGAACCGTTAAATCCACGTGAGCTCTGGATCAATTCTATTTAGAATAAGCCTCTTATCATGTGTAGCATCTAGAGGGTAAATTTATTAGAAAATCGATTAAAAAAAGTTTTTAATGTTTTTTTTATTATTATTAGTTTCAGGAAAGCGGACACAAATTGATTCGGAAAAAAATAAAAACCCCATTTATATAATCCCTGTATATATTTGCATCCTGATGGTGTAGACCTTTAATTTTTAAACTTTAACGAGTTGGCTCAGAAAAATGTCTGAGTTTAAAAAGGTCCACAACATCAGATTGCAAAAATATAAGTGTTTGCAGTTCTGACCGCCAAGTTTAAAGAATTTATAGTTTTCGGAACATGTCGCCATGTTATTTCAGACTTTGGTCGAGCCTGATGAATTTACTTTGCATTAATGATAGAACCACCACATTGCTCATCAGCAAAATGGATCATAAGAATCCAGGGTAAAGGATTCCTCAGAGTTTCTCCACCAACTATCCTTCCATTCTCAGCCTGTTTAAAGGAACTATTATTCAAAAATAAATTTAATTCACAAATTTTCGAAATGTGAAACACAACCGTCAACTGTTTTTCTTTTAAAACAGGATTTTCTTTTTGAAAAAAGTATATAAAAAGTATGTAAAAAGTATGTAAAAAGTATGTAAAAAGNCATGCTATTCTAGAGATGATGTAAAATTTGATTTGAATCCGAGGAAAATGCGCGAACAGTTTTGTTGTTTGGCATTGTATTGTTTTGTATTGAAATGTTGTCATTTAGAATATATCTGGCCTGCCTTTAATAAGTATTATACTTAAGTTTGCGAATAATTTTATGATAATGATAAAAATTATTAAACAAGATAAAATTTATAAATAATATTGGTGTATTGCACGATAATCATTAAAACAGTCATACGTGATATTTTAAATGAATGGGATGGTTTAGAGTGGACTCCTTATGAATTCAAAATATTTTTAATTTTGGCGCAAAGCCCATACTTCTTTTAGACCAATAAAGCGATTCATGTATATGGTTCTGTTCAGAAGATATAATAAAAAGACGACATTAAAAATCATCTATGAATTATCTTTACAGATTAAATTTAGGGGAAGGGGTGGTTATTCATATGTTTGTAGATTTGAAAGGCTGCATCAAATAAAGATTTATGTTACCCACTGAACAATTATTTTTTCATTTGCCACATTTTTACTGCAATATAGTTTTTTCATAAATACGCAAAAAATGTCATAAATTAATTAATTGAAAAAAATGGATGAAATAATTTCTTATCGCAGTTTTATTCTTATAGTCCAGAAATTATGATCTTGGTACAAAGTTTAGACAGAAAACTTCTAAAATGAAGATAGGACACCAAATTAAATTTTCAAGTGAAAAATGCCTGGAAACAGGAAAAGGAAAAAATAAACAAAAGAAAAGAAATGCATTAATAAAACAGCAAGGAAATTACTCATCATAAAACAGACTCAATTTCAAATTTGTACTTTTAAAACACTTTTTCAAAAAGACTAGGAAAATGGGAAAAATTTTGGGTTTTTACTTATCTTTTATATTCTCAAAATACATGCCTAAGGTCAATCACTGTTCTGACATTTATGCAAAATCGCAAGAAAATAACTGCAAAAATGACCCCCATTTAAAATTTGTGGCCTTTGGGGGTAAATGTGGACATTTCCCTTTGCCTTTAAAAACATCCTTAATACTTACGTTTACAGTTAAAATTCTCATCTGCAGTTAGTAGAGGTGCATAAGTGATATACAGAAAAACAATTAATATAAGTTCACTTATAAAAGAGAAATGCATAGTTTAAAAACAAATTATACTTTAAACTTTACATTTGTTAGTTTTAATCAATAATTGATTGTAATAATATATACAACATTCTTCTAACAATGCCGGGAGAAAGAACTTAACTTATAATTGATATTATTTACAAGCTGATTTAGAGTTTATTATTCAAATACAGGGTGTCCCACGAAACTTGACAATCGGAAGACGACTTGAAGGAAGTCTAAAGATCTATGAAATTCTAAAGTTAATAATCACAACATCCCTAGTCCTTCTATTTCCAAATTGTGGTCTGTTTTTTGTGCTCTCAATATTACCGAAGATATTAAGAATTTCATTCAGACTTCAATATCTTGAATAAAACCAAAGTTGTCGAGACCACATTTTGGAAATACCAGGGAATGTTGTGATTATTGTTAAAATATCAAACATTTAAAAGTAGGTTGACAGTAAGTATTATAACTGAAGCTAAATTTAAAAACAAATAAGGGGGAGAGTAACCTTGCCACTCTCAATATATTGAATATAGTTACAGGGCTCCAAAAAATAGTTCTGCTCTGCAATTTGGCTAGCTGCAGAAAACATCCAAAAAATTCATTTATTTTTTATTTTCAAAATTAGCCAAAGTATGATTGAAGGATGGACAAGGAATGGAAGATCAAGAAGAAAGAATGAAAAACAAGAAATATAGAAGTCTCAAAATGTTTCCATCTGATATCATATTGAAATTTAAAAATATTGTAAAATTTAATTATAATAAATTATTAAAGTTAAAAAAAGTAGGTTGACCAACGAATGCCGGAGAATTATTTTAAAAAATCAACACTCTGTATGAGAAATCAGGATGAATTATAAAGGTCTCAACAATTCAATTGATTTTGTTAGCTAAAAAATATAAGTTTTGAATCAAAATATTTATATTTCCGGTTCTTTAATAAATTTTTACAATTTTTGTTTAAAGCATTTTTATGTAATCAAAATTTTACATCCTTCTAAGAATATCAAAAATTCCGGATTAAAAAAAAAATTACATTAAATTATTTTTGTTGGAATTTAAACTTTTGTGTTTCAGACTAATCTATATATAAATTTGGCTTGTCTGTCTGTTTGGATGTCTGTTTGTTTGTATCCAATAAACGTCAAAACGGCTGAACCGATCGGGCCCAATTTTTTTGTGGGACGTCACGTGAATGATAAAAATTTTTAAAAAATGTGTTTTAAAGGTTTTTAATTTTGTAAAAAAATTTAGTATACAGGTCACACCAATCCAGCATTGCATTCTACGCGCTGGGTCCACTACACGTGGTACATTAGACTGGCAGGTACGAGTAAATTTTTGTACCGGATCATGCGATGATTGGACTGGAGTGAAATTGTTTTTATTGTTGGTGTACTCGCCTTTTTTGTTAACAGTTTCAGTTTCTCTATCCTCAGTTCCTTATCAGTACAACTTGTATTAGCTTCAAATGCTTTACAGTCTGCCTGTACATTATCCATCATGACGTCATTGGGTGTGTACTGTCCGCATACATCTGTATAGTGTAAACAGTGTACAAGTTGGAGTCCGAGAAGAATGATATTACTACGGGGTGTCCCACATCATATTAGATCGTTTCTAACTCTAAAATGCGATTTTTTCGGTACAAATCAGAAAATTTAAAAAGAATGAACCATTTAAAAAAATGTGTAGGTTTTCTGCGTATTTTGTGCGTATTCTGGCGTACAAGCTTGGAGATAATCCAATATGATATAGGACGCTCTGTATATTAATAAATCATAATTTATTAAAGATATATAGTCTATATAAAAATTTGGCTTGTCTGTCTGTCTGTTTGTTTGTTTGTATTCAAAAAAACGTCAAAACGCTGAACTGATATGGCCCAAATTTTGTTTGGGACCTCGCGTGGCCCCAGGGAAGGTTTATGAATGATCGAAATTTTAAAAATTTGTGTTCAAAAGTGTTTTATTTTTGTAAAATTTTGAAAATGCGCGAAAAAATAGAAGATGGGCGCGAAGCGCCCTAAAAGCCTAGTAAAAAAATAAGTGTACGTTAATAATACCGTGTTTGTTGACGTCTAAAGAGCGCTTACATATCTCATATTAAAATCCGACATTTTTTTATGCGTGGTTTTCTAGGAAAACTAAGAATGAGGATAAATATTTACTGCCCCTTAGCATAACCAGACATCTGGCTTCTTATGCGGGATATGTAACGTTCTAATTGAACCTTCAAACTGTAGGGTAGATTTTGATAAATAATCATTTAAGGCCCTCGGTTTGTCGCTATATGGACGTTGTTCTTCCTTTGTTCGTACAAGATCCCCATCCTATATATATTAGTTATATTTTTTATCCAGATTACTCCATTAGGAGAGTGAGACGGAATTCAGTTTAACAAGGTACACAATCAAAAATACAATTTCGTTTTAGTGTTAGAAATGGGCCAAGTGTTAGTTTTGGAACTAATTTCCCTTGAAAACATTATTTTTTGGTATGACAAAATTTTAAAGAGTTCTTTGCGAATTGTACATGGCTCTTTATAAATAGAGAATTACTTGAAGATACTTCTACATACGGAGAAAGGTTACTACATCCCTTTTAAGATCCACTTTTATTAGCATTTCCTTAAAATTGTGACAATAAAACACATAATTTTTAATTAATGAAGCCGTGACATTTAATAACACAGAGACACGGTGTCTGATCATATAATGTTAAAAATTCATCTGATTTTTAAAAACATCATTCCTTATTTGTTTTTATAATATTGCAGTACAATGCTAGTTATTAACAATCGTTTGCAGTACTGTAGGCTAGACTCTCCATTTATAAAGTGGCATGTCGGATTCACAACGCGTTAAATTAACTCTAAAAGTTTTGTATGAAAAAAGGCTTAAAGAGTTCCTTTGTAAATCGGGCGTTACAATGTAAGTTTGTGTAAGATGTCTGTATGTAATATTGTTCTAGGATACACCAGCTTGATTGAAAGAGTTCCTTTGTAAATTGGGAATTGCAATGTTAGTTTGTGTAAGATGTCTGTATGTAATATTGTTCTAGGATACACCAGCTTGATTGGCCTTCACTGCATCTTGTTGATATGTTCCATCAAAAAGTTAATGTTCCGTAGAAATCATTTGAAATATCATGTTTGTTGTTTTCATCTCGTCATTTTTCTTATTTTAGTTTTTATCATATTCTCAACTTTATTTATGTATTTTCAAGGAATCATCATGTTAAATCTATCGTTCTATCATCAACAGGGTGTTTTTTTAAAATGTCAATTTCCACACGCTGATAACTCAATTATCTTTTAAGATATCTAAGTTCTCTAAAAAGCTTATAAAAGATGAGATTGACACTTTTGATGGTTTGTTAAAACATAAATGCAACATATAAGCAAATTGAGATTTTTTCAGTTAATGCTTGAAATGTCTGCAAGTCCGCCATTTTCTTGGTAGTAAATTTTGACTCGTACTGGGTATCTCTTAAAATCTTGGATACGTCCATGTTTCTCAAAAGTCATCTTCAGCTCAGGAAGTGTTTTTAGATTTCCTCTAATTGACCTCGGCCTCTGTAATTGCAGCCCCCCAGAAGTAAAAATCTAAGGGGTTTAAGTAAAAAATGAATTTGCAGATTTCTCTTTTGATATTTTAGGAATTTTCAAAAAACATTATCGAGCCAATCTCATCTTTCATTTGCTTTTGAGAGAACTTAATTAGATATCTTTATAAATATGTTTTTAATCTTCATGACAGAAACAATCGCAAGAACTGACGAGGGTCAATAAAATGTGGAACTAGCATCTACTTTATTTACTCTATTACTCTACAGAGGTTTGGTCCATCACCATCACCGAATTTTAAATGATAGAGAAAATAGCGTTAGAAAATTTACATTTAAAAAAACACCCCGTATATAAAAAATAGAGTTTACTAAAGTGTACATCCCAACCAGAGGCGTACACAAGGGAGGGGCTAGGGGGGCTGCAGCCCCCCCTTCCTAGACCAGTAAAATCTATGGTTTCCAGGGGGCTTTCTCCCCTGGGAAGAAAAGAAAATTTAACCCCATTGAAAAACATTCCTGTGTACGCCCCTGATCCCACCCCTTATCATACATTTTACAGTGTACACCTCGTCAGTAGATATTGCTAGAGGTTCAGTGTCCTGGGTACAACAGGCAAACAGGGCAAAACTGTACAACTGTAAAAAAATTAGGGTTGTTTTTGTACGTATTCTTAATACAAGTTATTTTTCCAGTGCTTCCTTTGTTTTTTATTTTTTGTTTACATTTTAGGGGGTGGGAATATCTATCTATCTCTCAGATCATTTAGTATTTAGTAATTGAAAACAAACCCTGCAGTATGTGTACTGTATGAACCCCACTTCCTCTTGAAATCAAGATTTCGTGAGATGACGTACACCTGTAGTAAATGCCGTACTCCAGAACTGTATCAATCCAGGATCAACCCATCATTTATATAGATACAGAGCGTCCCATATCAAATTAGATTATCTCCAATCTTTAACACCAAAATAAATCCTTAATACTAGAAAAACTTTTCATTTTTCGCAAGAAAATTCTTATATAAGCCGTATGTTATTTTTCAAAATGATTCATTCTAATTAAATTTTCTAATTAGTCCCGAAAATCGTAATTTAGACCCGTTCTCGGTCTAATATGATGTGGGACACCCTGTATGTTCAAACTGTATTTATTACACACCTTTATTATTCCACTTGTACACAATCACATATTTACTCTGTGTATCTTGATACCTCTATTATTTAAAATTGTTTTCTTTTCCTCTATTTTTCATTATAAACATATAAAACCATTCTTACCTTAGGTTTCTCGAAGGTACTAATGCCCGCATCAGTGTTCGTTTAGTATCCGAGGAGGTTAAACACATTGAATTTTGATAATTTTGAAAATTCACATAATAGTTTCTTATGACCAGAATATTTCATAGATTATTTTTGTGAAAATGGATTCCATGTCAGGCTGTGACATCCGTCTTGTGTTTACTTTTCCGCCCAAAGACTGCAGTACTGCAGTACACTGCAGTACAAAAAATGCGTACACCTCTGAAATAACTTTAATTGTATTAGTACCTTTAGTTTCTCTAACTAAACAGTAACCAGGCCGGATTAAAAGGACAACACGTGAAGTTTGATATCTTGATAGTAATTTCATGTGACCCTCCATGCAAAGATGGCAATGTCCGATTTACAATGGTACCCTTGAAACCTAAATCTGATCAATAATGTGGAAGATACCGTCGTTTTTTAATTCGGAAAGTGTGTGTTTATTTCTGTGAGTTTCTCCATTACTTCTGATAAACAAGAAATGCACAAATCAATTTTACAGAGAAGCCGACAAAATAAACAGTTTAAAGCAACAAAAACAAATCTTATTTATACTTGATCCATAGATAAGAGAGTTACAGAGATCGATTATCAGCTAAAATATGCGATATTTTCCACAGCATGATCTATTGTGTACAAGTACTGTACACGACCAATTAGCAAACATCTGTATTCAGGGATATTTAAGGATCCTTTGGATACGAAACACAAAACCTTCAAAAGAAGACTGAATTCATAAAAATTGGAGTATTTCTTTAAAAGTTGTAAAATGGGTATTATGTTCAACAAGTGGCCGTGAGATGTCACTCTAAAAACCTATCGTAAAAACGTAGCATGTCGGGCCGGGTCAACTTAGGCCTACGTAGCCCGCCCTGTGAAAGGAGAAAAGCACTCTGTGTATTCTGGGTCTTGATCAGACAAAGCTCTAAAGTGTACCGTTGTAGATTAGGCATTGACATCTTTGCATGGAGGGACACTTCTAATTACAATTACAGTCCCTTTAAACATCGTACCAAATATGTTAACAAGATTTTTAATGTGATTATTTTCTTGAATTTTTTTATAATTATTTTCTTAAAATGAGGAACTGTCCCTTTCTGTTTCCGTTATCATATTTCAGGGTCACATGGTTTCAATGACGGGGAATGATAAAATCATATTAATCCTCAGTTTCGGAGAACGGAAGGATATAAAACTTTAATCCGGGGGAAGAAAGAAAAAAATATAAACCTAAGTTTTAAAAGTTCATTTTAAAAATATGATAATCAAACTTTTTTGACTTGGGTTATCGTTAATAGGGGAGGGGTGACGAGCTAGGGGTAAGTAGGGTAGAGTAATGAAGAGCTAGGGGAGGGGGTTAACTCTCATAAACTTTGAGAGAAAATTGCACGGTCACATACACACTCTTCCGTATAGTGATCAGCAAAACACGGAGTAATTTAAACCCGTCTCCAGTCTTAACTGAGAGTACGAGAGTTAAGGGTGGTCTGGTTTATATATAAGTTAAAGTGCATAAAATCTATAGCTCTGAATAGATCGGTTTAGTACTCCTTTCTAATAGTGNCACTTACAGTGTACAACTACTTGGTCCGGTACTCCTTTATTACAGTGTACCAAATGTGTGGTCTGGTACTCCTTTATTACAGTGTACAACCGTGTGATCTGGTCATTCTTTTTAATGGCTCTAAAGACTCTGGTACAGGTCCTCTGGAACAGTTCTGTGCATATATATATATGATAAAAAGTGTGTTTGATTAGTAGTGTGTAAATGACAAGTGGTTTTTTTATTTGTCATATTTACATCTTACATATACTGTGTACACTGTACACTGTGTTAGAATTCATTTGGCGCCAAATATAGACTGAAGGATAGGAATAGCAAATACGGGTGTTAACTATACTTGTTTGATTAATTTCCATTTATAGGAATATATTTAGCATCATAGGTTTAGGTTGGCTAGGCTCATCATCTGGATTCGGTATTTTCCGGGTCCATTTTAAACTGAGGTCTAGGGTCAGGTTCGGTATCTTTCCGGGTCCATTTTAAACTAGGATTTAGGTTCAGGTTCGGTATCTTTCCGGGTCCATTTTAAACTGAGGTTTAGGTTCAGGTTCGGTATCTAGTTTGGAACAGCTGAGTCTGATCAAGGATAAAAGAGATATCCTTACTGATATCTTAGAAACTTGATTATTTTCAATTGTGGTTTCTCTGCACAAGCGACTTGCAAATATATGGTACAGAGACGATAAAGTAAATTGTCAGAAATCCACATGTTTTAAAGGAAGTGTTCGCGAAAATTCAAAGGGGGCCACTTCCTTTAAGATAGAAAAACGCCGATAACTTCCGCATGGTTGCTTGGATAGAGGATGTGAATCTCGCATGCCTTTTTTTAAATAGAGGGCCATTTTAAATTCCGTCTACAGTCCCTTTAATGCTCTGATTTATATTAGTCCAGATTTGTATTAGGGGGACTGAGCTGAGAGTTATGACTATTAGGATTTAAGTTTAGGTTCATATTTACTCCGGGTATAGATATTAGTACAGTAGGATTATATATTCTCTTGGTCACTACATGATATAGGGCTTGAAATTTGAAAAACTGTTTTTATATTTTCTTTTTTCAGATTTTAAAATGATCCTGACTCTCTTTATGTCTCCAGAGTGAAATGAAAAGGTAAAAACTAAGACACGTGACAATAATTATACATTCTAATCTTACGAAATTACCTGAAGAATGTTTACTCCAGGGTAGGAGAAGGGACAGTATGCGGATTGATCTTGAACCTGAACCTCAACTATGATGAAGGTATTTAATACTGGTTCAGTTCACGAATCCCATCAGAACTTAATTGTGAAAAGTGAAAAAACTGGATCAAACTCTTCAATCAAATATTAAGTTCCTTTAATATTCCTTTAATAAAGCACTATTCTTTTTTTAAGACGAAGCCAACATTTTCTTGCATAACACCTGTCCCTGACAAATATGCCAATTTCACGCTACAATTGCAAAACAAAAATAATGTCTAAAGCATGCAAAATTTGTGGAGAAGACTGAAGTACAACATTTAATAATTTTTTTGGCTCATAGAAACTTTTAGTAGTGGCAAACTTTTTGTCAATTATGTAATTAACAGTAACGTTTTGCAATATCAAAAATAAAATTTAGTATGCACTATACATCCATATTCCGGGTTCCAATATCCATCCTACAGGTTCCAATATACGTACTCCTGGTTCCAATATATATATACTCCAGGTTCCAATATATATACTCCAGGTTCCAATATACATTTTCCAGGTTCCAATTTATATACTCCAAATTCCAATATATTTACTCTAGTTTCCAATACAGATATAATCCAGGTTCCAATATATATACTCCAGGTTCTAATATATATACTCAAGGTTCCAATATATGTACTTCAAGTTCCAATATATACACTCCAGGTTCCAATATATATATATAATCCAGGTTCCAATATATATACTCTAGGCTACAATATATATATACTCCAGGGTACAATACATGTACTCCAGGGTACAACATCTATACTCCAGGTTCCAATATATATACTCCAGGTATAAATATATATATATATATATATACTCCATGTTCCAATATATATATACTCCAGGGTACAATACATGTACTCCAGGGTACAACATCTATACTCCAGGTTCCAATATATATACTCCAGGTTCCAATATATATATACTCCAGGTTCCAATATATATACTCCAGGTATAAATATATATATATATATATATACTCCATGTTCCAATATATATATACTCCAGGTTCCAATATATTTACTCCATGTTCAAATATATATATATGTACTTCAGGTTCCAATTTATATATATATACTCTAGGTTCCATTATAAATACTCCATGTTCCAATATATATATACCCCAAGTTCAAATATATATATATACTCCAGGTTCCAATATATGTATATATCTGCTAATCTTGAGCACTCAGCGGTAATGAATAGGTGTATTAGTTAGCGTTATGCAATGGGTTGGAGTGGTTAGCGTGTTTGATCCATAATCTAAGGAATCAATATATATATACCCCAAGTTCAAATATATATATACTCCAGGTTCTAGTATATATACTCCAGGTTCCAATATATATACTCCAGGTTCCAATATATATGTTTACTCTAGGTTCCAATATATATACTCCAGGTTCCAATATATTTATATATCCGCTACATTTGAGCACTCTGTGGTTATTAATAGGTGTACTAATTAGCGTTATGCAAGGTCCTCAACTTATAATGAGTTGGTTGAGCTCTCTGGTCCCTATTTCATTACCAAATCATTAAGGTTTTATGGAGGAGTGGTTAGCGTGTTTTATCCATAATCTAAGGATTCATGGTTCAGCCCCGTCAACTGCAAAAATCAAAAACTGATAAAAATTCAGCCACACTTGTGAGTCTTTATAGGACGAAACACTGTGTCTATGGNAATGATAATAAATATAATAATGATAATAATGATAATAATGATAATAATGATAATGATAATAATAATAATTTTATAGCAATAAAATTTCGTAACTTTAATAGTAAACTTCCACTCTCCCCACACCCCGGTACCCTCCCTCACTACCCCTATGTTCAATATTATTTCATTCAGTTTTAACCACCATGCTTTAAGGTTAACCTAATTATTCATACAAACGTTTCTTTTAACCCCCACGGGCAGCCGTAGAACATTCTCACATTCTAATTTACTTTATTTTCTGTTTGACAACTGAGGATATACAAAAATACCGAAATCTATTTTCAATGTTTTTCTGTGTAATATAAAAGAGAGCAATGTTTGTTTATCATGAAGGGGATAATGAATATTAATGAACATTGTACAATATCAACACTATTAAATATGATAAGAATCAAAAAATTAACAGTAATAATTTGATGAATAATTTGTAATCACATCCATAATAATATATGATAAATATTCGGAAACATAATAATAATTATAACAATAATAATGATAATACTTCAGGAGCATTATGAAACGAAATGTGTTCAGAAACCTATTATTGTTCCAAAAAAGGTAAAAAAAAACACGAAAAATCATTTTAATGATAGCTCTAACGTGACTTGAATCAAGTGATTGAGAATACGATTTATGTGAAAGAACTGATTTCTTGTGACAGAAACTATTTATCTTATCTCTTTATCTTTCCAACCAGAGCTGGGAACTTTAGAATGGGATACCATTGATCCCGGCTGCTTAATCCGAATATCCAATGTGGACACTTTTGATTTCTTACTTAATCCATTCTTTTTCGGATAAAGAGTCCTTCCCGTTTCTGTATATTAATTATATTGATCTTAAATGGCGTGCAAAATTTCAAAGTTACTGATTCTTTCCCACAAACTCAAATTTTTTAATCCCTATATCTTTGCAATATGATGATTTAACCCATTGATATTTCAAACTTACACTAATTGATCCAATAAAATTCATAGTTTGAAATATCTAAGGAAATCGACATCGGGTCACAAAGATATGGGGGTTATAAAATCAGATTTAGTGTTAAAAACTCAATTCCTTTATTGGCTTCACATATGCGGCTCTGATTGGTTGAATTTCAGGATATAAGTACAAAATTAGGTTAGTCTCGATATTAAGAAACAGAGGGGATAAAGCATTAATCTCGATATCCACCATTCTAAAGTTCTCAGCTCTGATGGTTTATATGTTTGTTTTTAATCTTTGTGAAGAAACAATCTCAAGAACTGACGAGGGTCAACCCAGACCGAAATATATTTTCAATAAATGTGGAACTAACATCTACTTTTTTACTCTACAGAGGTTTGGTCCATCACCATCACTGAATTTTAAATGTTTGATATCTTAAGCTTTAGCTATAATATGAATTAGCATATGTTGGAAACATCATAGATTGCGAGGATAAAGTGAAAATTAGGATTTGAGTTATGTTATCAGAAATATTTTACCATCTTATATTGATAAAATTAGTTTTGAAAATATGAAATTTATGATTGAGTGTTAGGTAGATGGACTAGGTTAGGTAGATGGACTAGGTTAGGTAGATGGACTAGGTTAGTGGTTGGTTTTAAATCAGGAAAATCAATATTTTCTATAGCTTTTTGAGCTTGAACCAGACCAGTTTGAACCGGTTCAACTTGAACACCATTTATAAAGTTCCAACTTAAGTCAGATGTTAATAGATATCCCTGTATTTCTCTAGGCGAAGGAGATTGAGTGTCAAAAGTGCCGAAAGTTTCATATTACAGTTTATCAACCTAAATGGTTTAAGGTAAGTTTTATTAAAAAACTTTTTGAAAAATAATTAGTTTCTCTTACTTTACAGGGAAGTTAAGAGAAATTTACTTTAATTGGTTCCCAAGACCAATTTTGCCTACAAAACATCCAGAGAATGTGTCGAGAGAATCTTTTTAATTTCCCGAAAAAGAAGTTGTACACAATTGTATCGTCTTTTGAGTTGAAAATGAGCGATTTTTTCACGAAAACTTCGCAGAGCGGTGATATTTTACTGTATTACCAAGGAGAATTGAATACAAGGAGGGGGCAATAGGGTTTCCGTACACTTTGCTAGTTTTTGCGTAACAACAATAATAAAGGCAGCCGATCTAATGTAAACAAACATGAGTTAGTATACGGTGAATCTTCATCTAACGACAGATATGCACCAAATGTCTGTTTATCATTTGTGTTATTAAGTTTACAATCTTTATTATTGTTGTTACGCAAAAACTAGTTCTCCAGCAGTCCAAAAACGTCACAGCAAAGTGTACGGAAACCCTATTTCCCCCTCCTTGTATTTAATTCTCCTTGGGTATTACTGTGCCAAGAGATGTTAAGTAACTCTAGTGAGAGAATCAGAGGTCGGTAATATTGGTCAAAAGGCAAAATATCAGAATATCAAATGCCAAATGATCAAAAATCTTTAAATGATCAAAAAATGTACGTTAAACAGTTAGGACAACTATTTTTTTCAAAAATATTATACAATTTTACAATAAAGTTAATTTTAAAGTTTAAGTTATTCTTAAACATATTTTTATGATAAAACTTCTGTAAAATGCAACCTCTTTCTTTCAAACAATCTATTTTTTCTTCTTTCTCTTCTCTTCTATGGTCTACTCTTCTCTTCTATTTTCTTCTCTTCTTTTTTCTTCTCCTTTCTTTTCTGTTTTTTTTTTCTTTTATTTTTTCTTCTCTTTTTTCTTATCTTATTCTTTTTCTTCTCTTCTCCACTCTTCTGTTCTCTTATCTCTTCTCTTCTCTTCTCTACTCTTCTGTTCTCTTATCTCTTTTCTTCTCTTTCCTTATCTCTTATCTTCTCCTCTTTGTTTTCTCTTTGTTGTTGACATTTAACCGGTTTTGAGATGAACAATGCAGTACGATCCGTTGTTATGATTTTTCTCTGATTGTTTACATTTCTAGCTTGTAGACCTAATTGAAACGTACTGCATTCGTACCCCATAATTAGGCATTTGATCATTTGGCATTTGATATTTTTCCGTCAAAAGGAGGTTACAAATGTCACCCTCCAAATGATTTTATAAAAGTTTCTTAAAAGTATTCCCATGTTTATTTTATAAGAAACAAATTAAAATGATTTGAATCTTTGCCACCAACTCAGATTTTCTATTACCTATATCTTTGCAACCCAATGTCATAGAACCTTAGAAAATTCTAACTCTAAATTCTGTTAGATCAAATAATCTAAGATTAAAACCACGTTGCAGAGATACAGGATTAAAGAATTAAAGTTTGTGACGAAGACTTGCAATTCCTTTGTATTTAAAGAAAATACTTTGAAAGATAATAAAGCAATGATATATTTGATAAAAATTTGCGCAAACTCAAATATTTAGTACTTGCAAAGATTTATAGCTGCAGTTTTACCTTGAAGTGTTCTAAAATTCTCTGATTTTATTTCAAAGGGATTGTTCCTGAAAATGAAACTAAATCAAGCTCACTATCGATTTGCACCTTTATTAATATATTCGCACTGTTTCATAATAAATCTCAACTCTATTTTATTTGAAATAAATTGGTTACATATAATTTCGTTCATAAAAATGAAAAAAAAATTAAAATCGAATATTTTGTTTCTGTGGCTATATTTAGGGCTCCCGTAACGTTTTATTTTTAGTGAAAGGAATGAATAAACGTTTAAAACACAAAAATATTAGACAGTGATAATATTTAAGACACCATGTGTGTACATAAAGGAATTGAGTCACATACTCTGATTTTCTAATCACTATATCTTTTGAACCAAATGTTGCAGACCTTAAATATTTCAAACTATGAATTAGATCAAAAAATCTGAGTTTGAAATATCAAAGGCTTACAACATCAGGTTCTATCACTTCTAAAGATATTGAAATTTAAATATATGATTTTGTTCCAAAGACAAAAACGAAACAGTTTTAAAAGTAGTTTATGTACAGGAGTGTCATCCTGTTTTTGACGAGAAGTGTACAACAAATTACCACAAACACTGCAAAACAAATGAGAAGTGTACAGAGATTTATCAAACAGTCTGCCAGACACAGTACGGATATCAACAAGAATGTCAGCAGGTACCAAAATCATATTCTATAGAATCAGCTGATTGTGCCATTTTTCAAGATGGCGGGAATTCAAAACGGCGAAAATCATGTTCAAATGTGATTTTCAGATTCCTGCCAAAACCTGCTATCCTGAGACAGTTTGCCATAATACACCACAGGTTAAAATTTAAAAATTAGCATTAAAATTTTTAGTTAAAAAATCTGTTCTCCATTCAACCCCCTTAAGAACAGGATACAACAATTTTGGGATAGCTGGAACACGTTCTTTAATAAATATTAATCGATTAATTCAAGATTTAAGACTTTTAAAAATTAAAAGTTTTATGCCTCCCGCTGTTTTTTGTTAATGTTGCCATGATTTCTCATAAAATATTTGAAGTTTCAAATAGCGGTGTTACAGTTGAGTGAACAACACTTTAATTTCATTAATTTTTCGGTCTACTCGTTTCTACTGAGTTAACTACTTTTTCATCTCTTTCATTCCTGTCAAAACCATAGGAAGGGGTTTTATTACATGAAAACAAATTGATGAAATGTTTATTTTCTTTCTTATTTTTATGATATTTTTAATCTGAATTTCTAATCCCTTTATCTTTGCAATATAAATTCGTAGAATTTGAATATGTCAAATTATAAATTCTGTTAGATCGAATAATCTAAGTTTAAAATGTCAAAGGTTCACAAATGTCAAAGGCAGATATAGGAATTATTAAACTCGATTTTGTAGCAACTTTTGTAAAATTATTTGAAAAATAAAATAACTTAATTTTTTAATATGTTAATGCTTCATAAATCAGAGAAAAAAAGAAAAAAAAATCCAAAAAAGCTCAATATTTATTCCACAATATTTTGTGCAAATACTATAAAAAGTAATTTATTACTAACACATGATATTTATATAATGTAGACTTAAAGATTTTTATCAGTGTCCTTGCAACAGTTATATTTGAGGCCCCACCAAATATGCTAGAAATTACTATTGTTTTTTTTTGCTGGAAAGGGACGGAGTCCTTGCAACAAAATCAAGTTGTCTAATCCCTATATCTTTGCAACCTGATGGCGGAAACCTTTCATATTTCAAACTTTGATTGTCTGATCTAATAGAATTCATAAATTAAAATACCTTTAAGGTCTACGACATTCATTTGCAAGGATATTTGATTAGAAAATTTGAGTTTCTGGCAAAAACTCAGTTCCTTTATTTTTAAACATGTCTTACATTTTAGAATTCTTATTTTATATATTTTTCTAGACTACTTGCTACCCAGTGAAGGGAGAGAAGTGTGAGAAGGTTAAAAAGGTTTGAATAAATTTTTAAAATATTTTTCTCATTCTTGACAACCTCAGAACATAAAGGGTTAACTTTTAGTAAATGCCCTACACTTAAAACTGCTCCCAAACCCGTGTCAATCCAGGTACAACTCATCAGCTATCAATGTCAGTACGGACACAAGCTCGTAAACTACCAATGCCAATCACGGGCACGATCTCGTCAGCTATAAATGTCAACACTGACACAAGCTCGTAAACCATCAATGCCAATCACGGGCACGATCTCGTCAGCTATCAATGTCAACACTGACACAAGCTCGTAAACCATCAATGCCAATCACGGGCACGATCTCGTCAGCTATCAATGTCAACACTGACACAAGCTCGTAAACTATTAATACCAA